AATTCATGCATGTTTTTGGGCTGTCCGACCATAAATTTGGTTTCTGCTCTAACCCATATCCTTCATTGAGAAGCTAGATTCTGCCCTAATATTCAAACGTTCAAGGATATTAGAGCTCATGATGGATGACGCTTTCAAAGCAAAGCTCTCAAGCGGCTACAATCCCGGGAGCGTAGAACCTAACCTCATATAGCAGCCTAAGTAAGCACTGAAGTAAGCACTAAGCACCAATACTATAGGCCTGGATTCCTCTCATATAATTCAAATGATAGGATACCTAAGATAAATCCCAAAATAATACACGTAATTGTTAAGGCTCCGGCGATTAGACGACTCTGAAGGACCCAATCCCCTTCAGATTTAAGGTTTAGGCTTCAGATTCTAGCGGGGCTAGGTTTGAAGGAGTTGCCCTGGAATTGGCCCTAGATCTGCCTTTATCAGATTTAGAGTTTTCTTGGGTGTATCTTCCGAAGATCCAGTTCTGAGCAACTCGTCAGTTGGGTTTGGGCGGCACTGGCGTACCTTTCAAAACCACGCGATTGAATAGGCTCCAAATTCAACGCCATTAGCGCAAGCCTTGAGACGTGGACTTGGTTTCCCTGGGTTTGGGTCTTGAATATAGCGCTTGTAGGTTTATACCTAGTTAACGCGTCAGGGATTTTCTTCTTGGAAGCCTCAGAAAATAGCTGGGACGATTGCTGTCTGGGACGATTGCTGTCAATAGGTGCCAGCATTGAAACCAAACGTGATGGAGTTTTAAGGCGTTATGGGCCTGTACAATTCGCTACTACACTGATGCTGTTGTGACATGACTTTCATAAATTATTATGTGTGGAATGAGCCTGGGCGTGCTAGTTGATGGCATCTTTATGCAGAAAGGAGGTTACGAGCGCGGGTTGAGATCAGTTTTTTGGACGCGTTACTCTATTGAAGTGGTTTTCGGTTTGGGAAAATTCAACCTTTATGTTTCATAGGCGGACCGTAGGGCTGTAGGAAGCCTGGTTTATGGGAATCGGATTGTCGGATTGTTATCGGTTTCAAATGTCGGTCCAGGGGGCTATCGGGGATCTTTTTACGGGGAATGACGGCCCCAGAGCTGACATCTAACAATGTCGGCCTTATTTGCTGACATTGGAGCCTCAGGGGAAAGGATAATTCGAATTGTTCCTTCCTAATATCATAGAATTCATTCATGAATATCTGTTGTCCTGATACCGGTGTTTTCAGCATCTGGATATCGTTGCCCGTCCTAATCTGAACCCCAAGCTCCTGGAAGCCGGACACATCCCCTCTGAATTGATCGCCTGACAACAGGTAAACCGTGCACTGGGAAAGATCGTATTTCAACCCAAATTTTTCCGCTAATCTAATTTCTTCTCGAAAATACCGGATAACATCCTGAACCCTCCCTCCGCAGAAGCCATCGTCCGCATATTCCGGCTGGAATGGAAGCGTGATTCCGATTGCTGGCTATTACGACTTCCTCTGCATATCGCTTGCAGGCCAGACAAAACAAAGCCATCATCATTGGGTATCCCTCTTGCCCTCTTGAACTGGCATATGTAGACCCCTCGTAAACCAAATGGGAAGCCGACCCATATCACCACACAACAAAGCGAGAAGAGGTAGGGGCATATTGTCGATATTCCTCCAAAAAGACCGACGGAAGAACCGTATTGAAGACATTATTGATATCCTTTTGCAAAAGGATCATATCTTCCCTTCCTTTATTTTGGGTAATCCAATTTCTAGCAGAGTGGACGAGGATCTCGGGACCGCCCGTAATTGCCACGGCCAATTGATGAGGAGCCTCAGCGTCGAGGCGAAAAGTACACTTAAACGCCAATTTACGAAAGACTTGTCCTATGACTATGGGACGAGCATCATAATTCAAAGCGATCGGGCGTCCTGACTTATCAATCTTTCCTATTCCAACAAGGCTCCCTCCTGCTAACCATGGCTGCAATATATCAGGAACTTCCGCGTCCGCCAAAATCTGGAGGAATTCGCGCAAGACGATCATATATGAAATGAAAAAAATATATAAGACCCCGCATGATAAAAATGACTCAAGATTGCGCATAATTTAATTTTTCTAATGACCAACATATAGATTCTGAAAGATTTTAGATCTCCGCCCTGAATCTACGCATTCTACTTAATTACAATGCAGACAACTAAAGAGAGAGAAATTGCTCGAAATCTCGGAAGATTTTTAATCGCGCGGTCTCTTTATCCGGCTTTCGGCCAAATTTATCTCTCTTGGGCTGATTGTTCACGACCAACTTATAAATTCTGAAAGATCTTAGTCCTCCTTCCCAAATTTATATATTTCCCCGAATAATATGCCGACAACCAAAAGCAATAAATCACGCGGAATATGCAAATTCGCACGTGAAATGCGATAAGCACGGTCAATCTATAGATTGAAAAAGATTTTAGCTCTCCGCCCCCGAGTCTACCCATTCCGTACAGAGCCAAAGAGATAGAAATATTTCGAAATCGAAAGAGATTTTTAGTCTTACGGTTTGGGGAAGCGCATCAATCCCCGTAGATAGATATGGCCAATCTCTAAATTGAAAAAGATTTTAATTCTCTAAGTCGGATCTATGTATTCCGTCGCGCAACCGGACAGCCAAAGAGAGATAAATCGCGCGCAAAAACGCTCCGGAGGCAAGAGCCGCACGATCCAAAATCTCCTCTTGGCAAAGGGCGCGATTTTTTTCTTTTCATACTTTTAAATTTCTAGAGATACGTATGACCAAAACCAGCTTGCAATTAGAAAATGAATCTGCGCGTAATCAAAATCGATTCTTCAAATGAAATGTAAGAAATCTCGCTATTCAAGATTTCTAAACCGCGACCCCCCCATCGAGCCCAGCTTTTCCGTTTTCCGCCTCATTTATCTCTCTTAGACCCTCTGCGCGGGGGAGCGCATAAATCTCGGCGGTCTCGAGCCTTCCCATTCTTCCAAATAATCGCCTCGATAACCAAAGAGAGATAAATCAAACGAAATATGCAAAATCGTATAGGATCAAAAACGATGCGTAATAATTTGAGAGAGAAATCTAATTAAGCATCTTCATATTCGTTTGAGAGAAAAAGAATCATCAAAAAAATTGTCGGCCGTATTCCAATCGTGCAATCCCGGCGCCCACCGCCACGAATTAGACGAGAAAGAAGTTGCTGAAAGAAAGAAAAGCAACAACGCCATAGCAGACCTTCAAATGAAATAAAGAAATAAAGGAGAAATTAGGATATTCTTTCTCTAATCATCTATTCGCTTCAGCTCCCATCTCCTCAGATTCAGAGTCCTAAACGCTCATGGCTTTTAAGCGGGCTCTAATTTTGGTCCCTTAGCCGCTGCAAGCAAGTATACCCATATTTCAAAATGACGAAAGAAATATATTATAGATTTTGAAAAATTCTAAATCTCCGCCCTATATTTTCTTCGAAGAGAACGAAATCTCGAGAGATTTCGAGTCGCCCAATCCGATCTTTCCGCCTCGTTTAGGCTATCTGCGCGACGACTCAGGGGAGCTTAGATAGATATAATTAACCTATAAATTCTATTATGGATTTAGATTTTCGTCCAAAGTCTATACGTTCCGCCAAGCTACCGCAGATGATCAAAGAGAAATAATCATGCAGAAAATAGCTCTGGAAGCGAAAGCCACGTGACCTAAAATCTGCGAGATTTTTAGTCGCGCCGTCTACGCCGACAATCTCGAAGAATTTACAACCCCCATTTTTTCCGAAAAACTTTGAAATCTTCGCGATTTCAGAAGAGCTTGAAAGAAATCCATAAGAAATATTCTAAAGGCGAGCCCGAAAATCTAGATCGCGCGCGACCGAAATGATCGCAAGTAGACGCATCATAATACTGAGATATATAAAAAAATTTAAAGTTAGGAACCTTATTTAAAATCGTATATAGATCTTTCATTTAGTCATCCGCATCTTCTTCGTATGGTCTTGAATCCAATTCCTCGCGGCCTCAGGACATAGCATTTGGGATACGTCGAGGAATACAAGGGAAATAATATCCAGGCCCCCATCTCTGGCCCAGCTTCAGCAAGCACAAACATCAAGAAGGCGTCAAATCAATGTTTGCAGGTGATGCAGGTGGAATACACTTTCAGAAGCCAAGGGTGTTGCATTTGAGCACTTCCGCTTGTATGTACGCCATGGGGTCAGCACCTTGACTGGATTGACCAGTGTTCAACAGTGCTACTTGCGTACCATCTGCAGCTGCCGTTGTCTTCTACAAGAGCTTGTGCTTGGGCTGCAGCGGAGTTCTTCCCTTTGTGCCAGCTCGCGAATGATAGCGTGAGACTCCTTCAGCACGTATTTGCGTTTGCGGCGTACATCTCAAAATGCGCAGAAATTCTGCACATACAGGACACCCTGGTGAGCCGCATGCTTGGCCCAAATTAACATACGTACCAACCGCACTTGTCGCACTTGTGCTGCGTGACCGACCTGCCGCGGAATTGAGGCCAGCTCATCCAGGGCATCGTTGTTGAGCACCTGAGAATGCTGAACGAACAAACCACGAAAACTGTACTACAAAACTAGCCAGTTTTGCTCGGGTACATAGCCATAGGCACCATTTCAAACGTGGCCATGGCCCCGCTTCAAGGACGTGTCAGCCACGTTGATAAGCTTGACAGGTTGACAAGGAGGGCCTCTCAGATGGCAAGGCGCGCATTGCTTAGGTACCGGCAACACCAAGAGACACTGCCATCTCCATAGCGATGCCCTGCCACAAAAAATGCAGGACTGGAGGTACGTTTGAAGGCGGAAGGTGGAAGTGCATGCAGACAAAACGAACCCGACATTCTGTAACCTGCTGTGGCTGATAAAAATCCACATGTAATCTTGCCCAGCCAAATTCCATGTTTGGCTCTCCAAGCCAGGCCTGCTCAACACCTGCAAGACACAGGGCTGAAAGCTGGCTGAAGCCTGATTCAATTTCCCACCGACTCTGAGGTGAAAGCCAAGACCCACAGACATCTTCTTGACCGCGGACATCAGGTAACGCGAAGGGTTGCTTACCCCTTCTCGCCTCCGTCCTGAGCCCAGATGCCATGAAATGCCACGTAAGTCGATGGCGAGCAATGCGAGCACACGCACATATCTGATGTGATGCTTCTTTTGATGTGACGCGCTTTCTCTCCCACCTGGCCCCGCCTCCCAGCAACACCTCCTCGATGAGGTCTTTGGCTCGGAAGAAAGGCAACCGGGACAGTGCCTTGATGCCTCAGCCATAAAGCATTTAAGGAGGTTTGCAATGCTGAAAGCATGGCCAGATACTTTGAATTTCATGGGGCTGAGACATTCGTCATCCAGGTACAGAGAGTTCTTGGATGCCTCAAACGTCTTGGCTCTGCATAACTACCCCCTCTGACGCAGGAAGAATTCCGGCCCTCAAAGCCGGTCCGAACAAGGCATGCCGAAAATCTGCATGCACGCGAACAGACGGCGGGCTGAGTTGCTTGCGTAATTGCGCACCTGCAGGTCCAAGAAACCGTGCCAACGGTTCGCCATTCTGAACACTTGTAATAAACCCTTGGCACATCGTGCTCCCGCCAGCCTGCAGCATCTTCTCCTCACGTCTTACAGTCATGTCGCAACTGGAATGTGGCCTCTCTTTGGCTAATCTACCGAGCCATCCAATTTTTCTCAAGGTCCTGCTGAATCATGGGACTTAACCAGCCCGTTTGCAATGCTGGCTGAACATCCGCTACAGAACTTCCAATCCAGTGCCGCACTTGAAGCAATGCTGTCTCACAAGGCACTTGTTTATCCCTCCGACTTGCACCCCAGACAATGAACCGTACACCTCACCCATTCATCCAGTCGATGCCACACTAAATGATTTGCAGCGGGCGTGCTTTTGGGGGACAATGATCATGTGAGCGAAGTTGGACGGCCAGAAGATGCCATTGGGTTCAGAAAATTTACACCATTTTCAAGCGTCTCGACGGCCCTTTCACATTGTCAAGCTGGTAGATCTTTTCGAAGCGTAAGAACAACAGTCCCTCAATCCCTTCAGAACATTATTAGGTTGAACCATGGATCTTCACAATGACCAGAGCGTCCCAGTCACAGCCCTCTCCTGGGGAGTGACGGGCAGTTTTGAGGATCTGCTTGCGGCTCGTGCCATGCTGGCAGCCTGCGCAAGTCAGTGCGGGCGAATGATGCAGTGCTGGCAGATGTAACGTCTAACGAGTCTCACTTTGCAACCTGTTTCAAGGGCTATGGGATAAATTCGCATCAGCTTTACCGAAAGGCCACTCCTGGCGGTACCATGCCTGCACCATTTCCTCATCTTCAGGCTCTTGCTTTTCTTGGAGTTCCTGCTTGACCACGCCTGGCATAGCGCATGCTACAAGCCAACACTGAAAAGCGCAACCACAGGAACCCAAGCGGGCAGTGCGGACCTTCGTAGCTACGCTTCACCGTGGCGCGAGATGGCCTAAGCTGGCGGTCAGCACCGGCGTGCTCTACCAATTGAGAGACACGAGCTTTTCATATTCCATGAAAAAGCCAGCTTTACTTGGGAATCTGCAGGTACGACTCGAAATTGGCATGCCCATGCTTCATGCGCTGTCCACTCAAGTTCTGTCATGTTTGTAGGGCAGCAGCACAAGCTGTTTGTAGCCAGTCACAGCCCCAACAACCTCAGGCAATCATGCCAGCGCTGGCTACCTTGCTGCGTGCGCGCCTTACATGCATAGAGCTGGGGCAGGCACTCTTCGTGGCCCACCCCTGCCGGTTGCAAATGCAGGACTGACTCTGCTCTTACTGAAGGTGGTTGATGCCCTGCTGCAAGCTTCGACCCTCAAACCTGATTTCTTCGGCCAGCTCAAGCTGTGCGGGCCACGAGGTGCCCAGCTTTTGATGTGCAATGAGAAGGGGCAAATAAAAGATACCGAAGGCATGTCCCTCCAGCTTGAATGCCGATCCATTTCATCCAAAGACATAATATGGCCTCTGCGCCAGTCGTGCTGCAGCTCGCCTCCCCGCAGCGGCTGCAGCTTCTGCGGCGTCCGTGCCTGAGCGCTGTGGAAATGCACGGAAAACAACTAGACCAGAATGCTCATGATCTCTTTGTGTCTAGTCCCCTGATGAGTCTGAAGGAACCTCCACAACAACATGCAATGTCTTTGCTAAGGCCGGAAGAACACATCAATTAGTCACACTTAGTCACTGGCCGAGGGCCACAAACATCAGAATTAGGATGCAAGGGCAATCTAGCCTACACAATCCCACGTGCCATGATGTTGCAGCAGTCCGTGCTGCAATGCCTTTGGGCCTTACTACTAGAAAACAAACAAATCTGAACATCCTCTAGCCAAGCTGAATAATCGTTGCAGCCCTTCGAAAAGAGCACTGAGCAGCCGATTACGCTCAGGACACGCATGGAATGGCGGCCTTCACGTCTCTTGCTGGATTGTCCTATGAAGTCCTGATGATGCATTTACACATGCGGCATGAGCACGAAATTCAGAGGCATTTAGATAGATAGATAGATAGATAGATAGATAGATGGATAGATAAACATCATATTATATGTGTATACATACATCTACATGTATACGTTAGACTCGCAGTACATCGAATGTGGTGGTTTCGTTAGGCTGCATGGGACGCTGAAAAAGTAACCTCATACGGATTCATCTTCGCCCCAGCTCCAAAGCGTCCAATCGAATTGCGAGAACCAGGCTCGCTCTGCACAGGATCAGGGCTGCCCTTATAGACTGGAGGTTATGCAGCTGGACTGATCAAGTTCAGCCAAAATTTGTTTGGCACAGGATGCTTCCCTATGAGAAGCCCTATCTGGAGACCATGGACAGAACTGGGGCAGCGGCGGGGCTTCTTCGGTCCAGGCTCCGCCGCGGCTGCCCAGTCAAGCCAGCCCTGCAAAAATCCAGTTGGCACAACAAGAGGACAACGAGAAGACCTGTGATCAGCAGGCTTGCAGCAGCCTTCTTTTCTGAGAGGTACAAACAAGTCTCGTTTGAGTGGGTACGCAATGTAGCCGCCTAAAGCAAATGCAAAGCAGCAAAATCAGTGTCTGCAGTCAGGGATCTGTTTAACTGCTGTAGCATACAATACACCCGAACAACCACCGCTCAACAGCTTTGAGACCAGCACCTCATCATGTTCATCGCCCTCGCCAGCTTCGCCACTTGCAGCTGCAAAGTCTTCGCCAAGGTCCTTCATAAGCCAACACACCTAGCTTTCCAATTTTGAACATCTCTAGGAGAACCCCGCCACCAGGACAGTGTAACACCCTTTCAAGGCAAAGCAAATTTCTAGCCGAAGTTAGGCCGTGAAGCGCTTCTAAACTTGGAGAATGCGCAGGATCGCTGCAGTGTACCATAGCTGTAGGGTTCAGCTCAAGCAAGTTGAGAAGTACAATTTCTCCGCTGCACATATAAAGATTACTTACCTGGGCTACGGACACAGAATTGGCTTTGTGGCGTTTTGTCTCCAATGTCGATTCACAGTGAATTTGCAGCAAACGCCACAAGAAAGGAATCCGGTTTTCAATGGTTCCTATCACTGGCTCAGTATTGAATTCCACGTTTCCATGAGCCGAATGTCATTGATCTTTGGCAATGGCTTAGTACTGGAATCCATGTCTCCGTGGGCCATCCGAATTTCGGCCGACTCATACAAGTAATGCTGGCTTTGTACTGGAATCCACATTGAGGCTGTCCACTTTCCCTTACCCGGAAACCTCTTGCCGTGCCTTTCGCGGTCTTTTGCCGCCCAAGAGAAACCAAAAAGCTACATCTATAGACAATTCATGGTCTGTTAGGCCCATGCTACTCTTGTCGGAGCACCTTTCGCTGTACTTTCGCGGCTGATTCACAACCATGGACAAGTTCAATTTTGGAAATCACATGTGCCCGCGTTACATGAATATCAGACAAGCGTTTCAGGACGGGCACGGCTTAGTATTGGAGTCCACGTTTGAGTTGATTTGTCGTACTGGCTTGGTACCGGTATCCGGCGGACTTCTGTTTATTGAGAGCGCAGAATTACTACTGGAGTCCTGTACCCGTGAGGCCTGGATTCTCGTTGATTTGCAGTACTGGCATCTCAATGCATCCCTCGTGTCCGTGCGCCGGCTGGTACTTCGTCGTTCATACTGGAATCCACGTTGCTGTGAGCTGGCTGGACTTTGTTTGGTTGTTTCTGGAATACGGGATCAGTTAATGCTGGCTGAACCGTAAGCCGGCTGGATTTCGTTGCTTCCTAGAAGTAGCTTAGTACTGAAATCCACGATTCCGTGAGCTGGCTGGATTTTTGTTACTCTCTAATGCTGGCATGGCTCTGGCATTCCCATTTCTGTGAGTCAGCTGGATTTTGGCTGCTGTCTGATACAGTGCCGGCTCTGTTTAAGAAAACATGGGGTAAGAAAATCAGCGCTCTGTATCTCCTATGCTGGCTAAATACATGATGAGCCAGCTGGATGTTCGTTGATTTGTATTGTATGAGTGAGGATTTCAGCGCGCTGTTGTCTCAAGTTTGATTGTCCTCCCTATCGTTGTATTAAGTCTTCAAATTCGCTTGCTCAAATCATGCCCGCTCAGTACACAGATAGTTGGAGATTGGTAATTGCAACTGTCGCTCAATATGCAGCTGCCCAAGCAAGGCACAAACAGGCCTCGTCGTCCCACCAATTCGCCTGCCACTGCGCGGCACATGCCCTTCAAGCACATGAAAGCCGAAGCTGGAAGTTTAGTGGGGAACACATTGGTCGCGTTGCTCAGCCAGCTCAAGCTGAGCCGCTTATGCTTAATCATCCTCTCGTCAGCTGAGACTTCTAGAGAGACTGGCGCTGAGTTGCTGGCCTGTTCTGAATCCTCGGGCCACTCGAATGTCTCCTTCTACTGCGCAGCACTGTTGCCAGACATGTTCTATTTGAGCTGCTTCCCGAGGAACTTCTGGACCCGCCCTCTTTGAACTCTTCGCCCACGAAACTGGAAGCAGGACGAACGTTGTCTGCATTTTTCTCACAGTGGTAAGTGCATTTGTGCATTACATTGCCGAAGTCGGACCCCGCCTGATCTACTACTGCTGGCAGGCATGCATATGTGGGGTTAATGAATGTCAAACATTCTCTCCGTGATTTGTGGCACAGGTTTCAGCTTTTTGGAAGCTGTTATTGATTGGGCATCTGCAAGAAGACCCGAGTCGTGTAAGTCATTTCTCTGCTTTGGCAAAGTTGGCAGCACTCCCGTCCTCTGCCCAAGGGTCTTCTTCATGCCCAGCCTCCTCCTAGGTGCTGAAGCCATAACCCCTCGCCTACAACGAAAACCAGCCGTGGCCCCACGCTCCGGACATGATCAAAGCTTTGATCAATCAGTCTCTCATGCTTAGGTGATCATGCTGCGCTCAGCATGGGACCGCTTCGGCTTCCTCCTTGACATGGTTGGATGGGTCCTGCAGGCACAGTCAGCGGACGCTCTGAACTCTCCGCTGTTCAGAGAGGGCCTTCACTGAAAAAGACGCATCTTGCAGAGGCAAGCCTCGCCCGCTGCAAGGGAACTGTTGGCGCGCTGCACAGCCTCTGCAGGGCTCACGTCATAAGTGGAGACACATGTAGGGTCGAGAGGCAGTGCATCAAATGCCATCGTGGTGTCGAGGCTGTTGATATGCAGCCGCCTGCTTGATGTAACGCGTGGGATCCGGCACGCTGGCACCCCGCTCCTGCTTCCCAAAAGGTACATTGCAGGCCCTCAGCAAAATGGGCACAGCTGGCCCTGCACCCTGGGAACGACTTCGACACCCATGTAGACCAGCAGCTACTTGCAGCAGTAGGTATCGCTCATCGCTGCAACACTTTAGCTGCATCAATTTAGCACTCTTTCCGAATGATGCGTTTGCAACGTGCTGATGCCGTCCGCGCTGCCTTCAGCACATTAATGTTTCAGTCCTGAAGTCCTCGCAGAATCGACATCGACTGAGGCACCCCGAGGCAGTAGAGAGCACCAATCTGATGTCAGGCTCCACAAGCAGTCTGCAGCTACATTCTCCAAGATTGAGGGGTTCTGACGAAGCACCACAAGCAAGGCTGGGATGTAACTCACAAGGACAAGGTCAGACAGCACATCTTCAATGCATGACAACAGGCATCCAAACATGAAACGGACTGCCACGCTTCGGATCCTGAACCCTCTGTCAACTGTCAACACCGCACGGTAGTGCAAAGGTAAGGCCAAAGCCACTTCGTCTATGCTGATCTTCTGTGCAAGACCAGCGAACTGATTCAGCCTGTGCGCGCCCCCAAGTTGCTCCAACATTGAAACATTGAATATGAGCCGATCCCAACAAAAGGTTGCACAAGTCTCACTTCCACAGGCCGAAGGATGCCGAAGGTCGAAAGAATGTCAAGAATGCTTCTGCTGCTTGATGTTTGCCGAGACACCATTTGCAGCGAGATGTAAGTCTGGAGACATCGTCCACATCTTCTGGAGTCTCAGGCTCAGCAGCTTCCGTTTTGACCTTGGGCGTGGCCAGGGTCTCACACTTTCCCGCTTCTGTCAAGGCACTTTCTTGGTCCGAAACTGCTGTAAACCCGTGCCGCTGAGCCGCCGCCTACAAGACGTGAGCTTGCTTGCGCAAGGTAACGCGTGAGCAAAAATGAAAACTTGAATCGATGCACTTGACAAGTTGCCAAGCTAGCCTTGATGTAGCTCACCGGATCATCCAAACCTCGCTTCAACGAGCACATCTCTCTGTTAGCTCAGACAAGCCTTACCTAAAGGCCGCCGCCATCTGAGCCAGCAACCTAATCCTTTTTCCTGCATCTCCTTCAGTATTCTCGCTGCCTAGGCCGCAAGGAGCAATAGCAATCATAAGCCTTCAGCACCTTGCGAAACATTCGCTCGCTGCATGGCACATGGCTAAGCTCCTGTGTCTTCCAGACTGTGAATACAGCCTGCCACCAGGACACATGTATGTACAGGTGCAGTGGCCTTTCAAGTTCCCAGACTCAGGCTCCTCAGCCCTTTGCTTCAGAGGCTTTGGGACTTGGCAAGCGTCTGACACTGAGCAAAATACTCGCTTGGTTCCCAGGGCTTCCATGGCACCAGCCACCTGGCCCCGCAATGAAGGATTTGGATACTTTGATTTGGGTAGGGACCTTGATTGCCGACTTCCACGGGACCTGCATGAACAACTCCGGATACAGGTGTGCTGAATGTTGCAGCGCGAGATCAAGGCCCCAGCGTGCACAAGAGCTCTGTACAGCTCTGAACCCCACATCCAAAACCCGGCCTCAGCAAGTTTGACTTTCTGGTTCTTTCCTGGACCTTTGCTCAGGATTAGGCACTCGAACTGAGAGTCTTAGATTGGCAGATGCCTTAAAGCAAGATGAAAGAGCACACACTTACTGGCTTCCTTTGCATCGAAGCATCATTTGCATACAGCACCATGCTTTTGGAGGGAATCCCCTGTACAACAAGCCACCAAGGCGCCTCGGAGCTATGTCTCGAGCAAGTGAGTAGCTACTGCAGTCACGAACCACAGATATCATTACCCATGCCTATGCCATGCGACGTCAGGTCATCCACTCACATGTATCTCATACGCACCTCGCCTTTGCTCAGGAAGTCCATGAAGTCATTGAGTGCCTCCCATACATCTGCCACATCACATGTGGGATATGCGCAAGGTTGCACACTCGACGTGCCAGCACGCAACTTTGGCAGTTTTGAAGGCTTAACAAGTCCAGAGACCTCAGCTCTCAGGACTTCTACGTAAATGACCTGCTGGTGAGAGGGTCTAGGGTTTAAGGTTGCGATGTCATTTTCAAGAGCACGCCCTACAATCACTCCGCTAAGCAGCTCTCTCGGTTCGAAAAAACGAACATACGGGCAGATCAGGCCACGATCTCCACACCAACATTGGTGACGGTAGCTGTGTAGTCGACTTGAGACTGTGCATTGCCCTACTTTCGACACCTGATCTTAACCATCCTTGCCGAGCCGGTTGACTACCAAAATCCGAATGAGCCCATCCAACCCTACAAACCCCGAACGTGGTTTGCTAGTCCTTAGACTGCCTTTTTCAACTTCTCTTCAGTGCCCCAGCCTGAAGCGGCGTGACTGGCTCAGCACGCGCTCGTGCGCTGGCAACCTTCCAACACATTTCAAGACATGTTGTGCGCCATTGCTGGTTTGAAGTTGAAAAGCTGTATGCCCTTGAAATGTCAAATGGGCGTGATACTTGATGTATCACTGCCATTGTAGCTTCCACCCGTGCCACACCACTGCATCATCACCCAGCTTGCTCAGCCAGAGAGTTCCATGTGTGCCATGCACAAGCAGTGTAGGAGTCATGACAACAAAGCAAGGAGTCACAGGCTGCCATCACAAATTGTGGTGCCCCATGCGAATTCTGCAACAGACATTGAAAGTCTGAACGGAGCTTGCAGGTTTGCGATACCGCCCGCAACAGCTCGACTCAAGATGCCTTCTGGAACCACCTTGCCAAACGAAGGAATTCTCAGAGTTCACACCCAATGACCCTTACACAATTTTAAGACAACATCTTGAGAAGGTCGCTTAGCACCATATATTACTACTTGGAACAAGCTGTCACAGCTCTGCATCCTGCTCGAGAGTGATGGCAAGCAGTAACGGAAACCTCGGCCGTTGGAGCAGCCGCCCGTGGCGCGGCTCTTGTCGCTGCTCTTGGCACGGCATCACCAGCAGCATTTCCTTCACAGAGGATGACATGCAGGAGTTTCATAAGTCAGGTCATATTCAGCGAAGCCACCACCCTCAGGTGGTGTGATGGACATGAAATACCTAATGTAGGTCTTCCGTCAGAAGAAGCAGTTGGTGCCCATTCCCGGCATTGGACCGGCGTGTGCTTCAGTATTCAGTATCGGACACATACAAAATGTTCTATAAAGTACTAAGTTTCAAGTTTCAAGGCGCTGCGGAAAGCGGGAACAGGCTGTAGGACTGTAGGGCAAGCCACTGAGGTCCCGGCGGGAGTTTGTCTGACGAGCTGACCGAAGGATGAACTCGGTCGGATTTTCGATGCCTGCACGCCGTGCCGGGTCAGGCGAGTCCCATGCCCATGTTGCAGCTTCGCCTGCGCTCTGATCCTCCAGTTCTTTGAGGATGGTCATGGCTGCATCTAAGCCAACCTGATCCGCATAAAGATCTCACGAAAACCAATGGCTCCACCGAGAACAGAACTCTCAAGACGCAATGCGCTCACTGGACCTGAAACTGCAATCAGTTGGGGAAGCGGCACTTTCAAGGGAAGCTGCGACATCGTTGTAGTGGATGTCCTGCATGGTTTCGGCCTACCTCCTATTCTTCTGGATTGGTAGCTCAGTATTTCACCACGCCATGTCCTGCAACGCCCCCACTGTGCCCAAGGAATGAAGGAACCCTCTTTCCCCACCCCATGATACAGACCGCGGCGGGGGGATCTCGTCCGAAGGCGAGGATGTTTTGTCGCCAGAGGCACCAGGATAGGCTCACCACTGGCAGCTTGCCCACCCGAAGCAATTTCAAGGCGGCGTAAACGACAAGTGTGGGTTCTTCATTCGGCGACAAATGCTATCTGATCTATCTGCATCAGCATTACTTGCGCAACATGCCTTCCTGCACCATCCGCCTCACCTGCGACCCCATCATAGCGTTTTACACTACGGTCATCTGCCCAACGAGCAGCGGTTGCTTGCAAGCAGAGCACTCCTTGCGGCTAAGTTGAATCGACGACATGTAACATTGGTGGCAAGCTGTATTTCTGCCGTCCGCACACCATCCTCAAGGAGCCCACCGTAATCGTTCAGCCATTCCACTCCTCGGCAGCGGAATCCAATATGACGATGGGCTCTCTCAGGTCTAGGGGCCCACAATCTGATCCGTTCAATCCATTGAGGGTCTGCCCCAAATGGCCTTAGTGCCTTCGATTGGAGAAACCCCCACACAACAGCAGTCCCGATTTACTTGCCCTGAAATCTCGCATTGCTCCCGGACAACTTCGCAACACCCAGGTCCCAAATGGAACTTATTCATGTCTTCTTGGCAGGCCTATTGCAAACCGAGCACATGCGGTCACAAGAAGCCAGGGAAACCTTTCCACTGCTCCGTCACCGTCCCTAAAAGCAACGCTGCCGCAACTTGCCAAAAGACCATGTCAAATTGTAACGTAGCGTGCTCACTTTCAAGCCACTTCGGCAGCCGCAGAAGACCTGTCTGCTTCTCGCGCCTTTTTTCGGCTTGCTGACATAATGGCTCTGCTGAGCTCTGCTGGTTCGCGAGCCCATTGTGGCATGAGCTGGGGTCTGCATTAAGCGCTCAGTGAGATGTTCTAAAATTGTGTGGTCTTATGATGTCTTACGGTGTAGGCTGAATGCCTATTTCTGCATCCTTAGCTGGTGAGAGAAAGACTGACCTGGGAAGACCCCTTTCACTCTATCCTAGTGAATTCTGCGGGGCCAGTAGGATGAAGCCTTCACTGGACCAACGCAGCTTCTGAACAGGTGACACGGTGAGGCATTGTCGTTCTGTGGCTGAGCCCTAAATCGCCATGGAGCCCGGAAGTCAATATGGTGCTTCAAGGAGGCAGTCGCAGTCTGCTGCAAGATCGATGTCCCTCTACATCAAACGATAATTAAAGGAATGAAGCCAAGCCTTTCATGCCGGCTCTAGAGCCCAGGAAAAAGGACTCAGAGGCCGCGGCGGTTTTAATGGCCCGGCCCTTGGAAACCTCGGCTTTCGGAGCTTTGTGCTGAGGCACACGGATTTTCGCCACCCCTTTAAGAAGCTCTGAAAACATGATGCTAATGAATGGCATCAGTACAGGTCCAAAGCTACGGACATCTGGTGAGAGCCATGCAAATTGCGCTACTGGTGCAAAACTGATGGAACAAAAGCTGTATGATGCTGAAGCTGTCATCTTGAATGTAGGCCACTGCCATGCGACAAACTGCTACAAGGCACGCCGGTTGTTGGACTTTTGCATCACTGGGGTCTCCTCGTCGTCGCTGGAATACGCGCTATAGCCAGTTCGTCTCTTCTTTATGAACCAGATGCTTCCTCAGTCTGGGAAGCACGTGGCCAGGCTAGCCTCCATGTCACGTAATCTACACAATCCGCAGCACCCCTTGGCGCTCCACCTTGGGTCCAACACCTGGGTCAAAACGGCTGTGAAGCCAAGCGTCCCCATATGAGCACGTTTGCTAAGACCAGGCCGATGGCTATAGGCACCACGGGGATGCCACCACCAGAGGGTGGACTGCCAGCACCCTGGGGACCAGCAAGAAGGCACATTACAGGTCACAACCCAAATCAACCTCAAGCCTAAAGCATGCTGGAGGATCCAGTGTGTGATGGCAGCAAATGCTAACAGCGCTTCCGCATATTCTATGGATCATTCTAGTAATGCCCGGCAGCAGTGCTAAAGCCCCCTTCGAACTGTCGTGCTTTCAACCAAGCAAAACCCCGCACACCACCAAAAAGATTGAAATGAAACCATCAGCCGCGCGGCCACGGTCGTGTCTGTCAGGACATGGTTTGGACCGGGGCTGCCGGGCTTGGGTACTGCCGGTCTGAAAGTCTGGTGCTCTGGCCGCTGATCGGGAGGAAGCCTCAGCCACAAAACCGGCACGTTTCAGATCAGGAAAGGAACGCATCGGCGGCTTCACCCTTCAAACTTCAGTAGGTCAATTCTCAAGCGAAGGTAAGCGGCGTGTCAACGCAAATCCCCTCGTTGCTGCATGGGCCCTCGAGACACTGGCAAACGCCTGGAACGTCTGTGTTCAGGGCAGTATCAAACGGAAACATTGCAAGAATATCGGAAATCCTGCATGTGCTGCAGGCAATCTTCGTGGGGCCCTCCAGCCTTCCTTCATGGCGAGAGCACTGGAGCCCACGCACTGTGTGCGCCCTCGCGATGCCTTGCAGCCCATGCCTGGTAGCATGTTCGGTCAGGTGCATTTGGTGGAGGATGGGCAGTTCAAAGCCGTGACTTCGGAATCCAAACGTTGCCTCGCTAAACTGCATCGAACAAGTCTGGCACTGGCTTGTCCATGATGCTGGCAATGATGGCTACGCTTCGCTTTGTTGCTACTGGTTCCTTTGTTGCCGCCTTGCGAAAGAATGCTAGATCCGTGACCACCTTCTTTCATAAACCATGATCAAGGCCCAAAGGTGTGTGTTGTACGTTCAAGCCGGTAGGATGAAGCCAATGAACTTTCCGCACGGAATCTCTCTACAGACATCTCGTTCTTGCCAAGGCAGCAAAGATCAGCTTTGACCAAGAACCTATCACAATCTATGACGCTGGTTCATACGAGGATTGATGTCTTGACACCTCTTGAGACGAGGAGCCTGGCAGATTCATGCACGTGGAACCCAAGCAACAGCTCTCGCCGACGCATTGCGGGGGCTGCTCTGGGTGCTCTATTGCATTTTCCTCAGTCAGTTGCAGACAAAAACCATCAAAAACAACACTCATTTATGAAAAGAAAACCGGCTTGGAGAACATTGCCAGCCTGGTAGGACTTGGTTTTACATGCCGTGATTCGATCTTCTGCTCGGCTTTCTCAGCCATCATCCCTGCCACTCTTCCAGCCATGGCGGTAGCGATCGTCGCCGGGTCCTGTCCCGCGACAGGCAGTGCAGAAAGCGTCAGCAGCCATAAGCGCGCACGCATCCTCAGCTGCCCAGTGGCTGTTAAAACACGGAGCATGAGTGTCATTGCTTCAGGCAGCAACCGCCATGTAGACCTAGGGCTTGTGCCACCGTTATGATGGGTAAGGCTGGAAAGATTAGGGTGCCCAAAATGGAGTCAGATATCCAAAAATAAAGAAATGCAAAGAAAACAAAGATCAGACATGGAGGACAAATTGGCGACTTCTGGCCTGACAGGAGAATTGGCGCAGAATGGCTCCGGTCCTCGGGGATGTTTCTCCCGCACTTTTTGGCTCCAGGTTGGTTCCATTTTGGCCCCACGGCTGGTCCATGTTTAACCTAGAATGCACCATAGGGGCTCTACTTTGGCTCCACAGCTACATTTTGGCTCCATTCCAACTCAATTGTATTCACGAAAAAATGAATCAACAAAATCGCAGAGGGTACGCGCATAGGTTCTTCTTGCTCGCTTTTGTGTATCTTACGTTCACCTGGCTGACGCCTCTGAAATTTGCCTGTTCTGCCAATGCGGCTTTCTTTTTGTGTTTTCAAGCTTTCCCGATTTCTTTAAGCTTTGGAAGTGGAGCCAAGATGATGCCAACATGAAGCCCAAATGGAGCCGCAACGTGTAAATGAGACCAAAATGGAGCAGCCGAAGCGAAATCTAAAACAAAATCAACATGAACTTGAAATAGAGCCACAGGAACGAATGCACCCAAATGAGTGGGAGGCCTTGGGAGTGGAATTGGCAGGCCCTCAGCAAGTTGCCCCCAAAGCAGTACCCGGGCACTGGCCTGTTTCCCTCTGTCGCTCAGTGTGCTTTCCCGCTCCTTCTGACTAGGCTTGCCTCGGGCCAAGCTCTGAAAACGGACTCTAATGCCAAGTTGGTTTGAGGCCGGTCAGATAATGAAATTTGATTTCTGCCATCCATGTTGGCTTGATTGCTCAGTTTGGGGGGCCAATCGTTCTTTGCTGCACTTGCCTTCGTAGTGCTGACGGTGCATCTTGCGGCCAAGTCGCATGTTTCCGCTGCTCTGCTTCAAAAGGGCTAACACATGTTTGAGCTCAAATCCCAGCATGGAGCTCATGCTTCGGCTTACTTACTGCATGGCAACGCTGCATGTCTGCAGACGACTGGTCCCCAGCGTGGCTGCTTTGCCACTGCTGGATGAGAGAGCACCAGTTTCCAGATACTGAATGGTACCGTATATACATAGTTCAAGCTTCTTTTTATCAAGTTGACTGAAGCTTCACGGACCCTGAGGGTGCTGACGCTTCAAGATCTTGGTGTGGGCGTTGACCGGCGCATCCGGGGACACCCCAAGCACTGCCAGCCTTGCCTCACAAGTTCTTCAGGGGCAGGTGCCTGAATACGGGAAGGCTCTTCAGGCCGCCTTCCTTTCAGTTTTAACACTTGTATCTTGCAATGCTGTACTACAAAGGATCTTCAAATCATATTTAGATGCAGCAGGTGCTACAGCAATCTGCAGCTGCATGCGGCGCCTTGAGCTTGAAGCGAATGTAGGCTGTCGGGTTTTTGACTGATCCACCTGCATGAATGACAGGAGCAGGTCGACATACATCAAGATGCCGCGTCCGGACTTTGACGTGTCAATGAATCACCACTTCATGAACAACACCCGATCCAAGGCAAAAGAGACGAGGGTGGCCTTAAAACTGAATGATTTGATTTTCGTCAATCTCATTAACTGCCTGGGCAAAGAAGCGTCTGTCACCACGCACCTGAATCATACCTGCTACCCGGGGTCAACTCCAAGTGGCTCATCCCGAGGTGCAAGTCCTGACTCACTTAAGATATCCGATGCGTAGGTCTGCTCTACAAAGCTGCCCCAGGCATGCCCCAGCCATCCTGACCCGAATTGCAGCAGGACCACGCGACAACGACTTGCAAAGCGCCGTACTTCAGAAGCGAACGGCCTTTGTCTGCTACCTCCTGAAGCAGCCCAAGAGCATCCTCCTCTGGAAGTCCTGTCGGACTACGAAGGTCAACCCATACTAGATCACGGCAGACACAAACGAATAGCCCTGATGCCACGAGAAGTTACATGGGTTTCATGTGGCAAGAGAGCAAAGAACAAGATCACGATGAGATGTGGAGGCTTGCCCTGAGCTCCCAGCTCTCCAGTCCGTGCACCACTGTTGCGGCGTCAATTGGAGATGCCAACCTATGCAACGCAACATTCCAATAGCTGTGCCCGTTCGGCTTGGACCAGCCATGTCTGCTTCGAGGGAGCAGGCAGGGAAAAACTCAGGTCATCCACCTGACCATATTCTTGGGCCAACGCGTTCCCGCATCGTTCAGCTCCTGGATCCGATCTGCCACAGCAGTCTGTCCAGCTCCCTGGGCAAGGACCCAACGAGCTTTGTGAGCAAACGTAACGTACATGGCACATGTTGTTGGAACGCAGGTAATGACAGTTTGGAGCTTGAGGGGCCAGCATCTGGCAAGTCAATCTCGTCGCCTCCGGCCTCAGCTCTGGAGCTGTCCATGTCAATGCACAAGGTGCACAGGGAGTTGCTCAGGAGGACCTGCTCCACTGCCCTCCTGATGAAGTCGGTAGGGTCTGCCACCTGCCGGCTTCGTCTGAAGAATTTAGGTGCTAGATTTTCAAGCTGCGAGGCTTTCTACCGCAACGCCGGCTTTGCAGGTACTGGCAGGTAACTGAGGAGGTTTGATTCTGATTGCAGGCTTGCTTTTGTGGTGTGGCAGCCTTGTTGCCCTGCATCTCCAGCTCCCTCAGCAGGACCATAGCATGGGCTACCTGTCAGGCACAAAGTTTCAAATTTGAGTGCGCAGGGAGACCAACGAGCTTTGAGTTGGTTACCGCTGACACGGGTTGCTCAAACCTGTAAGGGCTGAAGTGCGACTATTTGGACTGGATGCGACTGTCACAACGTTGTGGCGGAGCTCCTACAGTGCCCAATATGTCTTTCCAGCTAAACCTCTTGTTCGACTTTGGAGACATTTCGGTTTGGGACGTGTCAGGCCATTGACATGGCACGTCCACTGGGAAACTTACTGCAGGAATCTGGAAACAGCAAGCTCACATTCCGAATGCGCACGGACGGCTTCGAAAAACAGAAGGTCAATGGGAAACCGCGACCGCGCTTACGAAGTGTTTTGCTGGACCTGGGGGCTGTGAAACATGTGAGATTGCAATTTGAAAGCTCAGCTTGGGGCTTGCAACGTGAAGGAACATGTGAGTGAGGTGGCAATTTGGAGGCTCAGCTTGCTTATTTAGAGCCTGTGTCCTTAAAATCTCTGAGGCTGCTTTGCTCATATCACAGCTTCCGCTGTCTCCTTCCTGGTGCCACATAAACTGCAACTCTACGGATGGTGAATTAAATCCTTCCTGCTACTTGACTTTGCCCGCCATTCATCCAATGTTTGCCAGAGGAGGGCTCGTCTCCTTTGTGCGAGCTCCGCACGCAACACGTCCAGATATGTCCGGGCAGCGTCAAACATGCGGTTGCAAGTTCCGATGTGGAAGACCCGCCTGAACAGCCTCCGTGTCAAATCTCTATGTCACATGTCGACGTCTCTGCACGTGTCATTTGAATAATGGTAGGGCAGTAATCTCGGAGTTGTTTTCCATCAACGTGAGTCCTGTCCATATTCTTCGGAACTTTGGTGAAAGCGTTACAGCTTCACCTCTGAATCTGATCAGCCTACTGAAGAAAACTCAGAGCTGTTAAAATTTATTCCTGCAGCAAACCTGAAGCTCCGAACTCTACATCCAAACAATCCATGTCAGGACTCTTCTGGCCCCCTCCTTGAGGCTGTCAAGCAAGTCTGCCACCTGCGTAGGTTTGAAGCAGCGAAGGCCGAATGGCTGGAGGTCTGAGACCTAGATGTCTTCAAATCCCTCCTGCCTCTGCCCACTCAATTTGCTTGGCCAGGCACCCGTACCTGAGGATTAAACGGAGGCACGAGAACAAGCACCTTCTCAAGCTCTCACCCAACATCCCCAACATCCCAGCGTCCCTACACTAGCGGCCCCACCATTTGCCTGACGGCAAGCCCATGTGACACTGCAATAGGGATGTCGCAAGCGTGCACGTACTTGAATCTTCCTACTCATTCCATTGCAATGGCCATCTTAGTGCCGGACTTGTTTAGCCATGCTACACGTTTGGCTACCTTGCAGCATTTCTGGTGAAATCATTGCTAGCTAGCCATCAATCGCGGCAAAGAGCTATGCGTGGCTTCAAGATGAGAACGTTACCTAAACACTGCAGAAAGACACTTAATAACGCACAGCCCAAAAATGGGCTCGTAGAGTGCTTGGGGTCCATCAGCTAAGGTGAAGACCTCCTGTTCTAGACGGAGGTCATGCATGTGTTGTGAGATTGGGCTTTCTTGGAATGCCCTTACAAAGGATATTCTCAGAATGTCATTCCATGCTCCAACATGTTGCGGCCAGCCCTACGCGGGCAAGAGTGGATTCCCGGTGATGCAAGCCTTGGTGTCATCATCAATGAGGTCAGGCTTCGACCATATCCAGCCTCCTTTGGCCGGCAGGTCCCTGGCAGGTACAAACGTGACATGCTACCGAAGAAGCTTCCACGCAGGGGGGGCTGGGAATGCAAGGCAGGTCATCATTTTCAAATCTAGTTCCAAAACAGCAAAATCCCAAGGTCCTATACGACACTGAAGTTGTCAAGTGGCAAAACAAAGTCTGTGACCCAGTCTATGATTTTCAGCCCTAAGACATGCTTCTCGTGCTAGGGGTGCCCTGCAAGCAACAGATCATGGAAGAATGCACGTAGTCTGACAAGTAGGATTCAACCACGACCCTCTCCAATGTTCCTCAGCAGCTCTTCCTCTTCCTCTTTCACAGCAGGAAAGCGAAAGCCTTGTCAGATCAGCATTGCCACCATCATTTGACAGGAAGCATCAGCATTTCAGACAACTTCTTCTTGGCCAGTTACTTTGGGGGGGAACGAATACTATGTCTGAAACGATCGAAGCCCTATAGAAGCTGACCAAGAAATTCCTTCTTGCCCCGAGATGGCTAGCTTCAGATCAGATCCAAGAATCCTGCACGTCCTTCTGATACCAACTTCTACTCTCTTGCGTGCACAGACCAAAATGAACTCTGATATTTGTGCAGCTTTGGGAGCGCGGCCCTTCTTGCCCTTGCCCTTGCCCTTGCTCTTGCCCTTGCCCTTGCTCTGCGGGTGCACCCTGCCATGGACGAAGGAAAAAAAAGTGAACCTGCATGGGATGTGAAGAAACTCCTCACCTGGAAGGCGTCCATTGGATAACCCACGGTTTCATGATCCATGTCACAACTACGCTGCTCTCAGCGAAAACGCGGCATCCCAGAAACAATGCTCCCTGCCTTCTCTCTTGCCATGCCATGAGCCCGGGATGCTGGCTAGCCAAGTTATCTGAGTTCAAGCTGGTTTCTGCGTGCGGTAAAATCTGATGTGACTGGAAGTCCACATCAAGCCTCTTTTTTGAACAAATCTCAGATCAAGGGCCTAGAAACTTCACAGCTCTCAAGCTTTCCATTGTGTGCCGGTATATGATCTAACATACTTGTTGGGAGCCATGTTGGACAAAGCATCGAAGGCGCCTGCTCCATCCTTGCGGAACTTAGCCATGAAGGCACAAGAAACAGAAGTCTGCGGACCATCTTTGCGACCTTGCCAGTAAGACTCAGTAAGACATGCATCTTATGCGTCTTGTGCGTGCAGCTTTGTACAGGCAGCCCCGTGGCTCACGTGCTGGAGGCTGCTGGCCAGCTCTGACCGGGCAACGAATGCTGACTCGGTGCCTCAAGCGTTTAGGAATCAAGCCGCATGGTGCTGTGCGTCTTCACCACGAGGCTCTTTTGAGCGGTTCAGCCATCAATTTCTGTCTCCGAGGAGTTGCAAGATGTTGAGAAAGAGGTTGAGGATGTCAAGGTAGAGGTTCAGGGCAGCAAAAGCGTATTCGTCAAGGCTGAACTCCAGTTCGTGACCTCCCCACTGCCCCAGCATCAATTGCGTGTCAAAGATTACGAAGAAAGAGAAGAGAATAATGCCAACGGTGTTGTAGACTGCCTCTATGATGGGTATGACGAACCCACACCTTGGCTTTCAACAAGCTCTTTTAACTTTGTTGTCTCAAGCATCTGCGCCAATCACTTACGCAAGAAAGCGGAGCTGCATGTTAAGGATCATCATGCCGAAGCCAATGACTACCAAGGCCTGTCGGAAACTTGCTGGAGAACTCCTTTCTGCAAAGGCTTTGTCATGAGCTTGCCCCATGCAGCTGAGCTGCAAAGAGGGCAATGAAGAGATATGGCGCGTAACCTTTGGCGTTTTGAAGACGGACCCTAAATCCTAAACCCTAAACCCATGCCGCGTAACCAGTCATGTCAGTCTTCGTGTAGAAGGCATAAGCAGTCAGCGAGAGGACAAGTGCCTAGCAGTTCTCTTGTGGCTGTTCAAACAGTGACATTGAAGTTGACTCAAGCGGAGTAAACTCGGCCGCAAAAACCGCAAATCCGACTGCAACCAACAGCTTGAAAGCCCTGCTGCTGCAGTGATGACCAGCGCAAAGAAGATGCTGTATGCCTAGCTTTAACAGGCATGCGCTGTATTGGTTTGAGGGTAGGGTTTATTCCCAAATTCATGTTTCACGCAGCTCGCAACCAGTTGATACATAGGTAGAAATGACTTTCGTTGCAGGCGTGCACATGCACACAGGCCATCCTTGGATATGTTTTGCCTCTATGCAGTAGACCAGCTAATCAGGCTGTCAATGGTACCGGCGGGTAAGCACGATCAAGGCAGAACTAAAGATTCTGGGCCGGAACTCGACCGATTCTGTGTCGCCGTGCCAACACACAAAGGTGAAAAGCGATCCAAGCAGTCAACAGTGGGCCTCAAACTTTCAAGCGTTTGTGGTATTACTGCAGAAAATGGCAACATGGTAATGAGTCTGCTGGGTTGCTTGGTACTCTCGGCAGACGACACCGGTCGTGACCCCGAAGGCAGCGCTTAGAATGGCCAAGCCAATGTAATTCCTTGAGATGCGGAGTTCTAGGCATCCAGCTCGAGGCTTACATTCCAAAAGCATCAATTCATCGTTGGAAAGTTGAGTTCTCGATTTGAGGCAAAGCTGCATGCGGATGACTCATAAACAGAGTCCTCTTGCCCTGGCAAATGCCATCAATTACGAAAAAGACCGATACTGTTCTAAGTCTAATTTCACCAGAAGGCGCCTCGAATAAGCATTCACGCACGATTCAATGCAATGCCTGACTCCAACACACCGGTCAACAGGTTGACAGCTGTCCCTCGTTTCTTCTTCCTTCCGTGCACCCGAGCGGGACCGGCTTCAACCCAACTTGAACTTCTAGCATAACATCGTATGGTAAAGAAAGTATCAAAGAAGCTGCAGCCATGAGTCTGCGGATAAGTTCGTAATTGTTCTCTGCAGCCTGCATCAGGTCAGTGCTTAAGCTTGCGCATCCGATCATGCAAGGAGCAGTGTGATGAGACGCATTCCATCTCTCTTTCTTTTGTTTCTTTCAGGGCTACAGGGGAGGCGGACGCACCCCAACAAACACTTGGTAATTGTCGTATTTGAACTGTTTCAAGGCTCTCTTCTCTTGGGCGCTGTAAGCCCTTGAAGTCAAAAGTATGTCTAAAGGCTCTGCACTGGCTGCGCATTAGTGACCACCATTTCCTTCAGCTTTACATCGCGGCTCCTCTGTCCAAATTGTAGGTCTCTTCACATCTTCTCCTTCCCAATCCTGCTCCTCTTATGCTGCCAACGGAGGAATTAACGCGATTCGTCTGACTGGCAGCTAGGATCAAAGAACCATCTATCGGCAGGCACCTCTTCCACAACTGCGGCTAGCGCATGTTTGGTCCAGCCCTGTCTCCCTGCACTGCACTGATCTTTCCTGTGTGTTCACTCATTCATGCTTCTGGACGTGTGTTTTCGTTTTGTCTTCTCACTTTGTTTGCGCTTCTCGCGGTGTCCACGTACTCTCAACATGCAATGGTCAGTCCGTTTCTTTCGGTAATTTCACTCACCTGAAGACATGTTTCCAAAGGATTGGATCGCTTGTGAATGAAGCTTTGTTCCATCACATTGTGCCATCCAGCAAACTCCTTGCCCTCTTCTCTCAACTGCTACTGCCGAGCTGCAGCGAATCACGAGCGTGTAGGCCAGAATGAACAACATACACCTCACTTGCTCAGTCGAATGCCTCAAGAGGCTAGCATAGTTTAATGTAGCCTTCCTCCTTGCTGCTGTTTGACACATAAACTCATTCAAGTAAGGCTTCTGCGCAGCGGGAAGCCAGGAATATCGAGTCAGCTGTTTCTCAGTCATGTTAGCAACTGGATATGCCACCACGATGGTGAGCAGGAGCTGGGCTGCAAGGATGCCGTACCTTAGCAGCCCTTGCTGCCCCGATTTATGCAAATGTGTACCAGCTCATACCTGTCCGGATTGATCTCTCCGCTGCACGTGAGTCTGTCTTCTGATATAATGCCATCACAGCTGCCAGGGGGAGACTCTTACAGGACCGGAAGCCTATCTGTGGCCCTCCTTGCAGGCCGCCTTCGTCGAAGTCAAGGTGCTTGCTCGTCCCCTCCCTGGCTGCTGCGATGGCAGGTCTTAGGATCTCCTCACTCACTACTTCGTAGTGGGCTTTGTCGATCTGCACAAGCGGCGATCCTGAAGAGGCACAGTGGTTAACGAGCAGCGACTCTCTTGTAAGAGTGCGCCGCCGGGAGTTCTCCTTAAATCATTATCATCGTTGTTTCCTGGCTCCAAGCCCATCTGGTTGAGCAAGCCTGCGCAATGCGCGCAGCTGTACAAGCAAGCTTCCCCGTCTACCTCTGCCTGCTGCAGACTAAAGAGGACATTAATGTCATGAGCGCATTCACTGTGAGTCTTACCACTTCCGCGTTGATTGTCCGAAAGGGGGGCGTTCCAGTGACTTCTGCGACCGGCTGGCAGCACATGTGCGTACGGGGACCTGGGTCCGGGCCCTAGACGTCTGCCTGGGCTTTCTCAGCTCGTCTGCCAGCAGCTTCCGGACATCAGCGGTTTGAGCCAATGCCTTCTTTGCCAAGCCTTCAGGCCGCGAAATCTCCGTAGGACTCGGCTGGCGCTGGGAGGATACGGGCATCCAAGGCCGCTCGGCACGGTCATTTGAGACGGGGCGGGGCCGGGGTGACTCCGATTGAGGTCGCAGATGCCGAGATGCCTCAGGGCACTTCTTGTGCTTGTTCAGTTTGGTCGTGGATGCAGACTCAGATGGCAGCTCGCTTCCCTCCCGAGGATGAACCATGTCCTGCAGCAAGTGGCTTAGGACCTGCATGCAATGTGTGTCCACCTTGCCAGCCTGGAGCAGGGCATGGACATGCGCAGTGAGATCCACAGCACGGAGCCGATCAGCGTCCATCAGCACCTCCTTAATTAGGAAGCTGCTGTCGTTGTCTGCATCAGGCTGTTTAGCCTTGATCGATACGGCAGGTCTCCCTTGTGCAGTTCGTGCTGTCGGCACGTTAGTGTTGCGGTTCGTAGTTCCAAAGTCTTCCCGCTCGCAGTCTTTGCTTGAAGCTTGCACGGCCACGGCATTGCTGTTGGGGCAGGCCTGGACGGAGGCGTCAATAGTTTCTGCTGGCTCCAGTTCGACTTGAGTTGCCTCCTCTTTGCCATCCTTGTGCAATTGATCCAGGTCCTTCCGAGCCTGTTGTATGGCGGACTTCTCGGTAGCCAGCTGCTTTTGCAGCTGAAGGAGCTGACCTTAGCAGTACTGGCAGCAGCTGCACAGGGAGCGGAAGCTTTCGTTCGTTCTGGGTTGTCCTGCATTTGATTCCATGGGTCAGAGCTCTGAAAGGCATACTCTTCATATGGCAAATGCAAGGCTTGAAGTTCCATCGGACGTGAGTGCTGGGAAGGTTTGGGGATGGCATACGGGATTTCGGGCTTGTAGACTGCATTGCAGGAAGGAAGCAGTAAGATGTTCCAGAAGAATGGACATGTGTTTGAAGGTACCCTGTGAACAATTCCTGGAGGGCATGCCTCACCCTGCACTTGCTGCAGAAGCCAGTTAATGTGAACCGAAAGGTCATGGACCACGATTTACACCCTCGACGAGTTGACCTCAACTGTGGATCTGGCGCTTTCGGCTGTCGAGCTGTTGCAAAACCTGCTTGCACTTGGCTTTGAAATCCTCCTTCTCCTTCTGCAAATGCGCCTGCATGGCCTGCTGCTGCTCCTGGGCCTGCTCACGCTCAGCAGCCAGCTCTGCCCTTGTCGCGTCGCAAGCCTCCTTGAACGCCAAGGCCTCTTTTTCGATGTCTGCTTGAAGAGCTGCGCCGCGACTCCGCTGGGCCTGCAACTCTGACTTGGCCTGCGCAAGACCCGAAGCATCTTCCTCCAGCTCCTCCCTTTGCCGCAGCAGGGCTATGCGCTCCTCCTCCAGGTGCGCCTGTGCCGCCTGAATGGCGGACTCGAGCTCGGCCTTCTGGGCTGCAGTATCCTCATGCTCCTCGATGAGGCGCTGCCGCTCCAACTCCAGATCCTCGCGCTCCGTCTGCGTCACCAGAACCTCGTCTCTCCTGACCTCCAGTTGCAATTTCTCGGCTGCAAGCAGCTGCCGCTCCTTCTCAAGCGCATCGAGCTGAGCCTTTCGCATTGCATCGAAGTCGTGTCGGGCTCTCTGCAGATCTGCTTGTTGTGTGGCTAGATGCTTTGTGTCAGCCTCTAGAGCCTTTCTTCGCAACTGCGTCTCCTTGTCGAAGGCCGCGACCTGGGCACGCCTTGTCTCCAGCTCGTCTTCTTGCTTTGCAGCTTCCTGCTTGCGTCGCTCCAACTGCTTCCTCTGACCAGCCATGTCTGCGCGAGCAAAGCTCGCACGTGCCTTCTGCTTTGCCTCGACGTCGCTATCAATTCCAAGTTCCTTTTTAGCATGTTCGTGTTCATCACGTAGTGCCTTCTGCAGCAGCACCTTCTGGAAACTTAGCCGCACGACCTGCTTTTGGAAATGGGCAACCTGCTGCCACACCGCAGCGTGAGGAGGAAGCACTCTTATCCGCAAAGGCCGTTGCCGAATTGCAGCTTGAAACTGCTCGCCCGTCATGGCGCCAACAAGATGACCGCCGAGCTCAACAACCTCGCAGCCGGGCTGTATCCTTGGCAGACAAACAAACAGCAAGAGCAAAAGCCTTCATGAGGCGGTGAGTCGAGAAGGGAACATGATGAGGAGCAGCGGATGGTGCCAAAACAGATTGAAAAAGGATAGCAACCTTGCAAAACCCAGTCAATTAGGGGGCAGACAATGTGTCAGAAATCTTGTTCAGCTGCCCCATGAATGGAATGACTTGGCATGGATGCCAAACCAAAAAATTAAAGATTGCACATGATGACACCGTGCAGCCCTGCTGTCGCTCCCCAGGTTCCTTCTTGCACCTGCTCCAAGCCGATGCACAGCACATGAGCCATGTGAATCAACTCAACACAGTAAATGAATCCATGTCTGGCGGCCCGTGTCTGCGTGCCTGGCTTGGAGTCCAAACAATATGAAGCGAACGCCCATCTTGCAAATGCTCCAGAAGAGATATAAATGAACAACAGCAAATCCATGCAAATCTACTTGTTCACAGCTGGCTTGCCTTGAAGCATACCCAAGGAGATCGCACACATCAAGAGGTGATTACTCTTGCTCTCTCTACCTCTAGGACTCTAGGCTTGACGTGCTTCCCCAGTTGCATTAGACAGAACCATTTCAACATGCGCTGCAATCATGCGCTAAACATGCTGAAGCACTGCTATGGCTGCTATGGCCTGCTTAACCACCAATGCAGGAGGTGGTAGCGGCGGAAGGGCCACAAAGACAAGCCCCAGACTGTCAACCTGGATGGAACACTCAACCCACAGACCAACCAGAGGAGCTTGACGAAATTGCCCACTTCCTCTTGCATTTTCATCTAGCATTTGTGCAGCCTCCTGTGCCAGAGCACATGTACGTTGCCCGTGGGCAGGTTGTTGCTTCAAGCAATATGGCTTGCACATTTGCACAGATACGTCTTAAATGTCTTAATGGAAGGCTGGGCAAAGTATGGCAACGTGTTGCAAGCAACAAGTACTGAAGTCAAATTATGGCAACGACGGCAGTAGCAGCACAAGACTAAACCTTGCGCATTCTTACTGATTGTGCATACTTATGCCGGTGCTGCCCGGACTCACATCCACCACTAGGACATAACCCCGGTTTGCTCATAGTTCCATCAAGTTGTTTGCGAAGTGCAGTGACGAAGAGAGGAAGCATAATGAGTGAGTTGGCCTTAGTGCCGCTGTTTTGACTCCTGGTACTCCCTACATGTTCATCATACAGGAAGCTTATCTCAGCATGCCATCTAATTGGACTACAACGAGCTTCAGGTGCAACCTGTGTACTTGAAGGACTTTGCTATCCGAGAAGCTGTGTGGTCGACAGTGAAGCTTTTCGCCTCGAAGTGGCTGGGGTCCATGCAGACATCTATAAGCAACGCCAGCGAGACACGGAGCCCTCGAAGCGCAGCATGGCAGTACACGGCATGCAGGGCTGCTTGGTCTCTGGTCACTGTTTGCTGAATGCTGACTTCCGATCTACGATGGTGCTCTGGCATCTGGTACAGATTTAAGCCTCTGGACTTTCAGATGATCAGTGCTGAAGGTTTAAACAGTCAGATACAGTCAGCACTCCACGTGAGAATGAGCCAGATGTGCCACTAATCCCAGGCAAGATCAGCATGGTGGTGCGTGTTTGCCAAGCTGATGTTTCTAGAGGTTGAGGTAGTGAAGGAGAGCTTGCCAAAGATAATGCATTCCAAGAAACACTTTGCGAACGAAGCCTCGACGACACTCGATGTTTGCTTGCTTCAGGCTGGTGTCCATTGGCGCGTAGGACGTCGTCATGACTTCCCCGCCCTCCATTCTGCCAGTGATGACCTGTGTAGGGGACACGAGCTGAAGAACTCCAACGTGTCATGTGAGTCCAAAGCGGCCTGGACTGAGATCAGAAACACACTTCAGTTCGAGTCACAAATCAATGCTGCGGAAGCACACGAAACGGGTGAGATTCGTGAAAAGATTGCTAGTGTACTAGATTCACCAAACACTGATGGGCCCATGTTGCAAGACGTCACGCTTTCACACAGAACGTGCGTTTTCTACGTCGGCAAATAAAACGAACGGCGCCCGTCTTCCTTTGCCGGCACGTCTTCTCCCGCGATCGTTGTTCGATGCAAGATCCTGCCAACATGCCGGGCACTGCTGTCATCGCAAGGTCAAGACTGTTCAAGGCTCCTACAATATCCATCATATCCAGTGGCCGTGAGTAAGCTGCAGACTACGACAATGAATCATGGCAAGATGGCACATGGTTGTGGAAGATTAGTCGCGGTTCCCATCCAAATTAGGAGTAAGGCCAATCTCTGAATCGATCGAACTGGACCCAAACGTTGGCTCTCGGAGTTACTATTTACAACCTCAGACTTATATTGGGTTTATTGGGGTTGTCTTGGGATAATGGAAAAGAAAATGGAAGCTACTATATTGGGGTTATATTGGAATAATGGAGAACAAAATGGAAACTACTCTTTAGTCTTTAGGCTATATGCTTTGTTTCCAGCTCCTGAGACCGGCTCTGCTCTTCGGGTTCTGTGTGCCCGGGGCTGCGTAGTGGCCTGCAGGAGAACAAAATCATCACGCAATCGTAGAAAACATGTACAAACAGTTGAACTGAACCTAGGGTCGTGAAGGGATGTGTTGACGGCTTTTTGCGGCTGTCACCATGAACTCACAAAAAGGTCTGCAGTTTCGTGATTTGTTGTGCACATATTGGCCGCACACATTCTCTGATGTTGTGCGCTACGAGCCCGTGTGTGAAGAACACCCTGCTGGATCAAAGCGTCACTGCTAGTGTTGGCTTCTACTCAGTCATTACAACGCCACACGTACTTGTAGTTGTAGTAGTAGTAGTAGTAGTAGTAATAGTAGGAGGCAGTCTGCACGATGTTCATCAAGAAACACATGCAAGTCGAGCAAAGGGACCCGCGCTAATCGACTTTCACAGACCAAAACGAGCTGAGCATGGGGCAGTTGCCGAGGTTGTCGTTAATGGCGAAATCACCTTCCTCATGCAAGTTCGAAGGCTCACCTGTGATCTGCGCAACTCAAGTGACCAAAGAGCTCCTGACCTGCCACGACATCTTGATCCCAATCTTGTCCACAGCCTGGTCTAAACGTTCTCCGAGCTCGTCCTCTCAAGGGATCAAGAAGTTCGCTCACTTGTGCTACATCTCTTGCTTCATAAATGACTGTGCGAAATATGATGCGGTCTCAGCCCTCGCAGAATATACCCTCATTCCGAAGCTGTTAATCATTGTGATCGTTTGCCACATTCCGAATCAAAACAGCACACCCTATGCAAAAGCCCCTGAAGGTGAGCATGTCGTTCCGTGATCTGATAGCGGTACACGACAGATCTCCTGAACCACGTGTGGCGCCAGCATGCTCTTTGGCCGCCTGCACGGGGATGCAGCTGGCTGTAAGTCATCACTGGGCAGAAACAGCTTTCATCCGTTGCGCCATGGTGAAAGTTCATGAGTGTAGTGAGTGTAGTGTCTTCTGCAGATACTGTTCTGGTTAGCGCTGCAAACAATCGCATAGATATGACATATACATCAAGGGCCTGCAATTACAGACAAAGTGGCAGGTGCTTAGAGCCTTTCTGCACCCAAGCTTATCAACAAAGGTCTGACGGTGTTTAACACTTGTAACTCGCTGATAGTCATGGCCGTGGATGATCACCGGCGTTATGCATCATGGGCCTCTCGGCTGGTGTTGCCGCATCGCCATCCTTGAAAGGGCTTGAGGAGGGGACTTCAGTCGGCTTCAGCCAGCAACTAAAAATTCCTTCACACCATATGATGATAATGATGATAGTGATGATGCTGATGATTATGTGCTTGATAAGATTTCAACACTGGACGCAAAGCACTAAGTCAGCCGCCACGCACCATGCTTCGCAGAACGGAGGGCCACAGTGAAACATCATTGTCGTATCCTGCTGGGCCAGCACTTTAGAAACACGCAACCGACTTTATGATATCCTTTGGTACCGGCCTGTCTCACCGGATGCTGATATACCAGTGGATGGGCAAGGCCCTCTCGAGTGACCATCCAATATCTGTCCCAGCCTCAGAGTTGCAAGAGAACTAGGCTGCAGTTTGACTTGGAGTCCTAAGCGAATTCTTGGATTTTGTGCAACTTTAACCCTGGCCGCAACAGGGTTGAAACAATGAGCAAAGAGTCCGACGAGCTTTCGTTTCCTCATCTTGCATCTCGTAAAACTCTTTGAGAGGAACAAACCTGAATGCAGATTAGCCAGTGCTGCCCAACGCAACTACTGCAACACGGAATGCCGCACACCGCTGGGATTGCAGCCACGTCTCACCTCCCTGGCACACACTGTGGAAGTGCATGGTCTGGTATTTGAAAGGCCTTGGAGATTTGACTTGAAGCCTACTCGCATCTACTCACTGTGCTTTCATGCTCAGGCTTCCGCTGCGTCTGAAAAGTGCCATCCAAATGCCATCCCGTCCTCCTAGCATCACTGTCTTTGCAAGATGCTATGTGCCTTGGAATATAGAACTATCTACATGTGCCAAACACTCAACTGCTCACCGCAGACACAGCACTTGTACTTAAACAGGCTGAGGGCCCTGCCCTACTCCCACACAGCCTTCCCTTTCCTTAGCCGCAGCCAATTCTTGGGCTCAAAGAAGAAATATTTTACGGATAAGGGTAGAGTTCTAAGGGCCCACAGACCGCCTAAGCAGGACTCCTTCCAGAAGATTGTTAGAGCGTCAGCCCGATTAGGTGACCCCCGAGGATCTACCCACGCTAATTCAATCGTAGACTCATCATTGGAAACGCGGAAGATATCCGGATGTGGGCCTCAGCAGCAATGAGGGTAGAGACGAGATGCACATATCAAGGAAGACACGGCAAAACTCGCGCATTAATCTCAGCTCCAGGCTCTTTGGGTGCTTATAAAATGTGCTCTCAATCTCAGATTGTTGCACGTCTTGAGCTGCAAATGTGAATTTGGAAGAATGAGGCATGCCGCACGTGCATGCAAGATCCAAACATTGCATCGGAGTCACAGTGCCCAGCTGCTTCGAGAGCTGAACCTGTGTTTCTCACTTCTCTGCTCCCAGATCAAGCCATCGCGCGAGAAACGTCTGGCCTGTCTCTCTCCACTGATTCTGCCTTGGCCTTTGAAGACCAAGACTCTGTGGATCTTCATGTCTTCCTTGATCCTGCTGCTTGAGCTTTCACATGCACAAGGGAGAAAGTGCTGGAGGAAGCATTCATCCGAGTGACAATATATAAGCGGAGGTCTGCTTGCCATGAGGAGTCTCTATTAAGACGCCTACTTAGACACCACTGCAGGTTTGCAGCGCAAAAGCTTCGCTCCTCTGTACAACATGCTCTGGAAGAGGATCATGTCCTTCCAGAGAGAAATCCCGAACCTTGGCAAAATTCGACTTTGCTGGCTTCGATGCGAAATGGTGCAGACAGCACACGCCGCGCCACAACATCGTGACCACTGGTGGAAGGAAACTCTCAATCACGCAAATACTGTGCCCACCTCAGCACCAAAGTGGGGCAAGATCGGCACGCAAGTGTACCTCGCGCAATCGTGCCGTATTCGAAAGAGAAGGGTCCTGTCCTCGAGCAAAAGGTTTGAAGCATTCAAAACTGCTGCCAGGGCAAGGGTCACGGTGCAGCTGAACTCATGCGGCGGATGCCAGCCACTGGCACCTCCAGGAGATATTCATGAATGTGATCTGGCATCACGTTGAGGGTCCCAGCATTTCCCTCCGTGTTATCATCCCCAAAGTCCACAAAAGAAGCCGACGGATTCCATTGATCCAACCTTCAGCCAGCGCAGCGCCAGCCTGAACAAAGTGGAGATTCGCTTTAAAAATCTCTTGACTGTACCGGCCAAAGGTCTGATGGTTCAGTTGGCGCGCTCAAGCCGCAGGCTAGGTTCCATCATCCCCTTGTCAAGCCTAGCGGACTTACTGGAGCCTTTTGCTAAGTTGCGGTGGGCTCCATGCTCTGCTTGCGCAGCATGAATGACTGGCATGTGAAGCCAAGGGTAAGAAGCAATACTCACCAACAGCGTGATGAGAATGGAGCCTTGAGAAGCCAGTCACGATGGGCCAACCTGTGGTGTAGGATGTCTGCAGAACCCAATCAATGCATGAACCATGCAGGGATCATTGACCTCATCCACCTATTTCTGATCTCCAAAGATGCATGACCCGCCATGCTCGCAGAGATAAGATGCCCCTCCTACTAGAACTCTGCACTTGGCATAAGCTGAACTAACGCGGATTGAGCCTGGTCAACATGCGAATGACCCTCCTTTCGAACAGTGTCGTACAAAACTGACTTGCCTACTTCATCCTACCTTCCAAAGTAGGCAGGTGTACTCCCATTACCAAACTCTATTTAACGTTTAGGGGAGACTTTCCAGAACACTGCAGTTCCAGCTCTTCGGCAGCAATCTTAGCACAGCAACTTCCAAACATCGTTACCTCTGTGCATGTGCAGGGGTCTGGAGCAAAGAGCATCCGTCAAGAAAATGAGCCCCAGTTTTGCAAAGACTGTACTCATGCGCAACTGGCTTCATGCCAGAAGCTAAGTGTTACAACCTGCTCCCACAACACTGACTCCTCAAGAATTCGGCCAAAGCAAGCTCAATGTAAAGCACTTCAAGGCAGGATACAGAACCCTGAATGAAACAAGACGTGAACCCTCAATAGATTCTGAGGACAAAACGGGCAGAAGGAGCCAAGAAACCGGGCCAAAAGGCCGCCAAGCTCCACGGCTGGAGGCTGGAGAGTGGTGTTGTTCTTGTTGTTGTTGCTGCTCCACCGCGACCATTGTTGCTGAACTGTTGGTATTCGCTACCAATGCTTGAAGATGGCAATGCTGCGTACCAGCAGCTGTTGTGGGACAGCGTTGTGACTTGCAACAACAGAAGCCGGCAGAAACTCCTTAGAAGAACATACGAATGCCTAAGATGCCTCAGGAATACTGTGAATGGGAAATGCAGTGCTCAGGAAAGGACAAACATCAGCCACGTTCGTTTTGGAACCAATGGCAAACAATGACAATATTACATGGCCGCAAGGTGCCGACTTTCACAGTGCCTAGCACACGGCACAGCAAGCCACAACAAGAGCAGCGCCGAATGATAGCAAGTTCCAAAGGCTACCAGGATATGAAGACACAAGCAGATACTCTCTACGATAACTAAGACCGGCTGCACTTCTCTCAGGTGAAACCTTCTAGAGACATGCCCTGGTACATGCTCGGTGGCAGTATCGGGAACAACGAATCCGTTCCAAAAGTGTTAGACACGCACCCAGTCAGGCTGTAGGCCTTCTGCCACTCGGACATGCCACGAAACTGCCTGGTATCATTAGCTGCGTCTACTTCTTGCAGACGTCTCCTACTGCTGGAAAAACATCGGAGGCTGTGCGAACATTGCCGGCATTGGTGGCATCATCATAGGATGCGGCTGTCCGGGCTTGTTCCACGTCACTTCGTTCGTTGTTGGATTCCAGAAGTAGGGCCTCATACAGATAGCATCTGCTGTTCGGGCATGCATCACTCAAGGAGTACGGGAGAGTACAGGACCTTACTCAGCAAACCCTTGCTTGCTAAAGGTTGTAGTGAACCAGCTGCATGTCACTTGTGCATAGACGTAGCTGGTGTCTGGAAACGGCTGAAAGCCAAGAAAATGACGTCTTTTGATACTTGCACGGGCTTGTTGATCGGCCGTCAACGCGTTCCTTAAACAAGCATGGGCTTTGCTGACTAAATCCTGCCGAGTTACCGTCCAGACGACCTTGGCTAAAATGTTTACGCGAGCTTGCAACATCTGTGCGCTTCGGGTGTGCCTCCGTATGCCGTTGAAATGGAGACTTTTTGTATTGCCCGGGCTAGCGGGGGAGGAGGTTTTTAGGGGTCAAGAAGCAAGTCTGGCCCATTTCTGGGTAGTATGAGTTCGGAGGTGGGTCGGTACTGCCAGGCTAAGCCTGAATAATGCCACAGGGTTAAAGCTTACAGCACTTGAAGGAACATCTCATGACCCAATGAATTTGCATCCCTTAAAGCAGTGCAAATTCAGAGCTAGCAGCTGCGTTTCGCATTACAAGTTCAGTTCATCTTCTATCGGCAACACAGCCCCACCGGTTTCTCAGACCCCAGGCAACCCACAGAGGCCTCGCACCGAACTTCTTTTTTTGAAGGAGCTGTTACTACCCGGGGAGAATCTTCTGGTACGATGTTTCATGGCCCTGGCTGTAAAAAAAACATGTATCCGGAGCTAGGCTAGTGCAGCGGAAGCTGCGGGTCTGGTACCGCAACCCAATCTTGCGGCAAGTCTGGCATGGTATAGACCTGCAAGGTGGCTACGCTAGTTGTGAAACCTGGGCAAAAAAAGACGAAGCTTTGGGTGTCCGAATTTATCAGCCGCTCTTGTCACATGAACTAGCTTGAAACTGCGGTTTCTGAATCTGCATTTGCTCACGTGTCAAGGTTTGCTCCCTGTGTTGATCAAAGAGGTCGAGAATCCCTGACATGACTTTGTTCAGCACCAGTCACTTCCACTCAGCTCGGGATTGCAAGTAAATCTTGATGATGAACTACAGATGCGCCTGCTGCAGTCCTTGCGCATCTCCGCTGCTGGAAGCTGCAGCATTCGATTGGCCACCACCACCTGTTCCAGCCGCAAGATTGATGACGGGCTTCTTCTGGCAACGCTACACCCCGTTACACGACAGAAGCTAAATCTCATGCCCAAGGATGTCCAAACAACAGCCCGCCTCGTCGGCCTTTCTTGTTGTTTTGCGGCTGCTGTTGCTGCTGCGTCGGCTGATACTGCTGCTGGTACTGCTGTTGTTGTTGCTGCTGTTTCCTGTCCTTCTTGCCTTTTCCTTTGCCTTCCTCCTTGCCCTTTCCTTGTCAGATAAAATTCCAGGCGCATGGCATCCGTTCCAAAGCCAAAGACAGCGATTGCAGAAAGTGGAGGCAAACAGGCCTTTTCCCTTGGCTTGTCTCTTTGCTTCTTCCCTGGCTCTCTGCTGTTCCTGCTGCTTCGCCCTTCTCTGCTCTTCCTTGGCCTGACGCTCCAGCTCTTTTCCTGAGGATCATGTACTGGTGAATATGGGTATCGCTTTCGCATCATCGTCACAGCGCTATCACCTAACATGATCTGTTAACCACCTCCATGGCCCAATGCTGATTCAATTGCGCACCTTACAACCTGCAAGCTTGAGCCAGAGGCCCCACTGCCCATTCCAATGTTTGTTTCGGTTTGGTTGTAGCTCCTGTTTTTCAATTGCTGCTGGGCCTGAGGTGTCAGTACTGTTCAGACATGGTCTCAACCTTGCTTGTAGAGTCACTGCACAGGATGTTTGGTTCAAATGATGCTTTTGTGTTGACCGGGCAGATAGCTGACTTGCTTCAAGCTGTTCGACTACATGAGTAATGTTTTTTTGGTGGTTGAACCTAGTAATATCATATTATCATATTCCTTACATAAAATACTATACCCAGAAAGAGGATATAATCTTACTCTATAATGGGAACCACAAGGTATTCCCAAATAAAATACTACTCACATGAGTGCAGAACCACATGCATTGAAACTTGACGACGCCACAACAATCCTCTCCGTTGGAAACAGCAAGCGCCCCGCAGATCCTGCCACTCAAAAATAACCAAAACATACTGAGGCTGTTGCTTCTTCGCTTCTCCTCTTCGGCCCTTCGCTTGCGCTCGACCTGGCTATGTGAAGTGGCGTGCGAGCTTGCTGGGCTTGATTTAGGGCATGCCTGCATCTTAAAAATTGCCAGCCTCAGGCTTGCAATAAATGGCCATGGGAAGGCTAGAAGCAAGAATCCAGCCGTCACTGCGGTCATGGCTTCGCTGAACAGCTGCCACTCAGTCGCACTATGCAAAGTCCCAAACTTCAACATGCCAATCTACAGCATTCCTGCTTACACCGTTGCGGATCACGGAGTGATGAGGCTGTGGGCGCACAGGATAGGTCTTTTCGGTCCGGTGACTTGTTGTGTGGTATCTTGAAAAACTGCAGCGAGTTTTGCGCCCTCATTGCCAAAGACTGTTCAAGGGTCTGTCGTGCTACCAAACCTACGAAAAGCAACCTAGCATACCTCTAGGGCTTTCTCCTCCAAATGCAACAATCGGAAAGCAAACTTTGCACGGTAGTATGCGTTTGTGAAGCCCTGAAGAGCGCGCCAATTTGCCTCCTCCTGCTCTTGGCGATAAGCCGCCTCTCGAGCCTGGCAAGGTAGGCAACGCGTCACGGAAACGGCTTCAGCTAAACCGGCATGCTCAGAGAACGTCTACTGCCTTTCAGTGCCGCTCCAAATTTGATTATGAAGCTTGTTTGGGGCGACGTGCTTACAATTGAAGATTGAGTGTGTGTGTGGAAACTTCGATTTTGAGCTTCTGGGGCAGTGAGCAGCATGTAACGACAGTGCAATTGCGGCGAGTCTGACCCTTAGATACCCGTAGAGAAAACGTCAATATGTCAGTAGTCCTCCTGCTTCATGCACTTGCTGGTGCTGAGTCATGATTTAGAGCTTGAAACATGAATATGAGCCAGTAGTGGCAACAAGATCTTGCAAATTCCTCTCAGCGCTTGTGCCCGAATGCAGAAAATCAAAGGTTCAACTCTTGCCCGTGCTGGCGCATCTCGCAGCTCTTTGCATCCCGCCTCTTCGAGATCAATGAATGGCTCAAAGAGTGTGAAGAGCCCATCCGAGGAGGACGCGCCCTGCAACAGAAAAAATATTCCTAACTGTCGCTGAGCTGCATGCTCCCCGGCTCAGGCCTTCCGCCTAGATTTCTGGTGCAGCGGAATGATCTGTCGAGTGGACTTGTTCAAGCGAATGCGCTGGTTCCAGGTGTCCTGCACTGCACTCACGCGCAGCCAAGATCTGCAGGCGTGCGATGGGGAATAATTTCAGTTTAGCTGGGGGAGGCGCTGCAAGAAAAAGTGTTGGCAGCAACAGCGAAAAATGCGGCTTGCCCGGACCAGCTGAGGTAGAGGGCAAATGCTTCTACCAATCCTTCCCCAGTTCTCATCCGCGCGCCCCGTGCAACTAAATGCAACTTCTTTTTAGGTGGGGATAACCTGGGGATGTGCGAATTCAATTCCATTGGCTTTGGGTGTGAACTACGAGCGCATGACAGCATGGTTCAAATTCTGGCCCGGGGAGCCAAGTCTTCCAGATTTTAACAAAGATGAACAAGACACCAACGTACACCTTACCTTGCTACAGTATGGCAAATGAATTGCAGGTTCCAGGGTGTGGAAATTTCGCCGCTTCACCCCTTCGATTGCAGGTAAGCTTTCTGAGTTGAGCAGAAGCAGGAACTGGCCGCCGCTTCCCTGCCCCGAGAGCTCCCACAAGCTTTCCTGTCTGTTCCGGATGCGGTGAACTAGCAATGCAGGAGTCACACAAGGAATCTGGGTCACGGAGTTCTGGTTGGATGCTGGACGTTCAGGACATTGCAGGACGTCATTGATCGGACGGCAAGCGCCTCGGTTACCCTTTCTCCTGTTCTTATCATGAGGGATTCTTGATGTGCGAGCCCTAATCTGGAGATGTGGTCTGAGAACTTCAACTTCCAAACAACTGATCGATAAGGAAAAAAACTCACGACCGGCCTCTTGCGTGCAAAGATCCCAAGCGAAATTTGCCGCAGCTAGTGGCTCTGCCCGGCCCCGCTCCCACCAGCCCCCCTCAGCTGATCCTTTGATCCTTGTTCATCGTAGACTCGGTGCATTCGCTTGCTGACGCTGGCCAACCACGATTCGTGTACAAAACCCATTCAGAAAATGGCTTTTGGGGGCCCTCGCCACGGCCTGTTCCACAGCAGCTAAGTTCGAAACACTCAACAGTGCAAACACTATGCTCCGTCCACAGAGTGGCAGCGTCAACAGCAACGCGAAAACTCATCGCATCCTCATCAATGGTCTCCATGCGTGTGGACGTCTCTCGCAGCACGTCCAACAAGCGGTCCTCAGGTCACAGGCGCCCTGTGATCGTTGTAATGAGGGCTGATCCCTCATCAAAGCTGGAAGGCAAGAACACCTTGGATGCTGGGGCGACAGCCAAAGCTTCGGCAACTCTGGGCCTAGCACGAGACCCATTCGCGACTGCCAGAGTCAGCACGGCGTCCCGTAGAACATGTCAAGGTCAGTAGCATATGCTCTTGCCAGCTTCCATTAAGGCTGCGGCTCAGCTGCCACTTGCGGTACAGGCTCGTCATCTCGCCTGCCTTTCGGATGTGCAAAACAGAAGATACCTTGCTTCGAACCATGCAGCAGTCTGACCCCAGCACCTCGCGTGCCGGAGAAATCGATTCCGTCCTCAGAAACCAGTATTGCAAAGTAGGGCATACACAGAATCATTTAACCTCCTACTCTGAAGTGGAACTACGACCTTCAGACTACGTACCATCTTGCCAGTCCTCCTCCTGCACTGTAGTGATCTTTGGCGAGGCTTTGCTGTAGAAGGCCTGTTCTCCGATTTCTGGTTATGGCTTCAATGTCTATCGCAGTCGCGGTGCTTTGTCTGAAGAATCTTACCCTGCCTCGGATAGCGCTTTCCGCAAGTCGTTGATGACTTCAATGTCCTTCCAACACGCCGAGGCAGTGCGAGGCAGAAACAGTGGGACTATGGATCAAGCTGCTTCACCCTACTTAGAGCATGGAAAGCCTCACAGAGGAGAACTTGATCTTCACCAGGAACCAGCCTCAGGGCATGCAACAAAACACTGATATGATACTGCAACCCTGCTAAAATACGGACTTGAGCTTGAAGGAAACCACAACACCAAATACAGCTTGGGGGGTGTCTTAGATATGTCGCCTTCTTAAGATGCAAACATGCACGGGGCTGGGGTAAGGTTGATGCCGTCCTGTACCACTCATAAACACAAAGCATAGTTTATGCAGGCCATACGGCATGTGAGCGCGACCCCCAAATTGCACACCCACACCACTGCTACACCTCAGAGGCTGGTAGCGCACAGTCCCCAACAAAAGCTAAAATAAAGAATTCTGGGGCGGCAAAATGCCTCCCCTGCTGAAGGCAATATAAAGCCTTGCCAAAGGGCTCGAGACCACCAGGGCCCTTCACTGACCAAATACGCCCATCCATGAGGTCCACATCCACCGAGAGCTCCTGTCACTGCTGGTAGCAAGCTACAAAGCCATTGGCCGTCGGGTGCTTTGTGTATGATTGCTGTCAGAGCAGAGCAATGCGCTCACGGCCAAAAACCGGTGCTAAATATTCTTGCAACCTTCCTTACCCTCGTTTGGGCTCAAAAAGGCATGTGGTCATGTCCTGGGACACAATCAGTCCCTGCCTGGTGGTCGCGGAGAAATGCCATCAACAGGGTGAAGGCCTGTCAATGTGCTGGAACTTCTGTCTACTTGGCAACCTAGCTTTGTCGTTCAGAACCAAAGCTCTCAGGCGGGTGCAATGATGTTCTGCCCCTCGGAGCTCAGCAGCGTAACACCCTCCACCCAGGACATGTCCTCAAGGTCTGATGTCTTTTCAGGGACACGGTTCAGGCAATCTATTCTTTCACTTGCATCCGCCCCTTCATTGCCATGTGTCAGCCTCGCAAGGATGCTTCCACAATTTTCGCAAAAATCCCTATCCATCCCTTTCCTACTTTTTGCAGAACCTCAAAGACTTCTGTCCCAGCGCTCTCCCAAAAATTGCTGCTCTCCTTGCTGTCTCCGCCCTGGGTCGAGGTATAGACCTCATTGGTTGTGAGGCTTGTACCCCAAAGGCACTTAGCTGCGCAAGATGAGCGTACAGCTCAGAAAAACGTGTGTATCAGGGCTTGCAGATGGGCCCAAGTCTTGTAACCTTGACCTGAGCCTACAGACAGCTCTCATAGAGTATGCGGCCTGAGGCATCTGCAGCAAACATGTCGTTTGGCCACGGCTCGTATTGTGCAGCCTCTGCAATGTCAGTCGAGCACATGAACCTTGGTCTAGCAAGAGACAGAGGAGTGAGGGCAAAATGAGGGCGCAGTCTCTCACTCCCTTCCCTTCCTCTTCCTCACTTCAACCTTTGAGGATGCTCAAAAGGCCGAATGTTTTGGTCTGGCGTTCGAACGTTACAAGTTGAAGAAACGGCCAAGGGACTGAAGACAATAATCAGCCATGACTATTCGATAATGCTGCTCATTGCTCATACAATTTGAGCTGCCTTCTTTTGAAAGTTTCAGGGGCCGTGAATGATCAGGAGAGTGCATAGACTCACTTATTTCGGAGCCGCGGCAGAAACGAAAGCTTTGTGCTCCGAGGCTCGAGACCAGAATCTACAGTGCAGCTGCAGCAACTCCGAGCCCTCTCTCCAGGTTCAAGAAGGGAGCAAGGAGGACTGACGAAGCTTGCATCAACAGCATCACGCGCCCTCCGTTTCTCCCTGAAAGAACCCCAAGAGTGGTGGACCCCTAAGATCACTCCCCTGCGAATCCCAACAGTTGGCGGCATGCTGCACCACTCCGCCACTCCAAACCCCCACCCCGCATACATCCTGCCCATGCCTCTTAAGTCTTAAAGAGCGCTGCTTTGAGAACGTTCTGGTAGGATCGCATTCTTTACATGGTTGTGAGGGTGGGCGAGGGCAGGGGGCATCCTTGTCGATAACTGAAGTCTTTAGAGGCCACTTAGGCTTCCCCCACCACAGTGTTTGAATTGAATCATTCATAGATCAGAGCACAAGGCCATTTTCAGGGGTGGTGATCCAGCCCATTGTATGGTCAACGACAACTACCGCAAAGCTCCAAGCAGCTGACAGCTAGCTTTGGTAACATAGTTCGGAGTAAGGAACGAAACTCCCTCTCACGAGGAGCTTTCGCGATTTTTCCAATGTAGGTCACCACTCAGCAAAGCGAGCCTCCGAAACACCTAAGTACCGGTAATTGCAACAGTATAGACAACAGCAAGACAATGACCCTCCCATGTTGCTGAGATCTGGGAGTGACTATTCGCAAATCCAACTTGGAGGGCAAACAACGAGCAGACTCATGATATGTACATCTTGGTCAGGACTCTTCGGTAACAGGAGGTTGTCTGGCTCCTATGGCTGTTCGAAACCTGAAAGGACATCATTATCCTCTGGAAGCATCAGCCCCTGGCCCGACAGGATTGCGCCACTGACATCGTCCCTTTGTGACCTCTGCAGGTAGCACGTGTAGATGCAGTTGCGCCTTTGACGGGGTATTAGCAGTCAAAAGAAAGGCTGGCAGATTTCGCCACACAGTTTATTTTGGAGGCGCTTGCATGCGCTGCAAACCATGATGTACCACTAGAGGTCACTAGAGCCGCTTCAGAAGCTTCATGGGTGGACCTTCGGCTTCACGACCTTGCCGACCTTCTTGGATCCTTGCAGTCCGCCTGGCTGCATGTCCCATAAGGTCAAAATGATCGTCCTTTTTTGGGTACTCTAAACATCAGGGGCTGTACTGTACGGGAACCCCAAAAAAGGCTCATAATTTTAACAGCCTGAACCTGGAAGCAATGTAGCATGCGAACATCATGACTCAATATCGAGGATCTGCAAATGCGTGAACATAATCCAGACACTTGGACAACCAAAGCAGCCAGTCTGAGCAGCTTGAAGTGACATCCCGAGATGCAGCTTGCTGAGAAGCCTCCCGAGCTTTCTGCTGGAGCCTCCACGATTTCCCAATTGACCTGCAACAGGAAAGATGAAGCCAGGTTAGAGATGGTCATGGTCCTGACTTGTGGCAGCAATATGTGCTGCCACGTTTGGCACCTCGTAAGGTGTCACAGGCTTGTAGATGTTGATGGGAGGCCCAAGTTCCTCTGCAAAATAGCTCGAGCAGCTCAGAGAAAGCCAGTCAGCTTAGCAACGCTCCCACCTCCTCCTTGTGCATTGGCTCTTCTTCCTCCTCGTCCTCCTCCTCCTCTTCTTGAACCTCCTGGACAAACGAGCAGCATTCAAATCCTTGCTGAAAGGAGCCGTTCGCATACGCAGGGCACAGCCTGACATCATCATCATCATCATCATGATCATCCTGATCATCCTGATTCATGAAACATGTCCTATTCTCAAGCTGCGAGGCTCCTCCTGCTCAAACTCCGGGTCCTCTTCAGCCTCCAGCTCCACAAGGTGAGCTGTCTCTCCAAACTCATGCTCCTCGCCATCTGTCTCCTCGTGCTCATGCTCGTGCTCTGCTCTGAGCACCCCATCCTTAGATTCCTTAGACGTGGCCTCGTTCTCCACAGCGGGGCTCCCGTCAGCTGTGCCTTCAGCGCTGCCTTCAACTTCAGTCCTTTCTTCTTTGGGACTGGGACTGGCTTCTGTGGTACTAGGATCCGCTGGAGCCTCCGCTTCACTCGGCGCCGTGGCGCTGACCTCAGCAGTCTCAGCCTCACCTCCGACCCCATCCTCTGGCATGACTTGTGAAGCCGCTGTCTCTTCCTTCGGCTCTTCAGCCTCCTTCTTTTCAGCAACCTCCGGCGACTCTGCGACCTCGTCTGCACCCTTTTCTTCATTAAGGGCTTCCTGGCCCTCCTTCTCACCAAGTCCCGGTGCCTCCTTCTCCTCTTCTCCGGCGGTCGGTGCGGCCTCGACGGGTTCGGTCGTGGCTGCCGCCTCTGAGGTTTCGCCTGGAGTTGAGGTCTCTCCGCTCGCTGCGGTCTCTCCGCTCGCTGCGGGCTTTTCATCTGCGGCGTCTGGCGGCTGATCCTGCAAGCAAGCCCAAGGCAAGAACGAAGCTCGCTCACGACCACATGGCGTTCAAAAGAAGATTTTTTCCGCCGCACAGGTGAGACTGGAAATGGCGAGGCTGTTTCAGGCCTGACCTCAGGGGCTGCATATCAGTGTAGGTGGCTGTGAGCACGAACAAAGGACTCAAAGAAGCCCAAATCCACACCATCAGAAACAGCGTCTTCACAGCTTCTGGTGGTATCTGCTGGCCCGAGCTCTGCATGATCTGCTGCGACTTCTCGCGGTACGCAGCCTGATCCTGTACGAAAAATGCACCCCAACGACCAGAAGAGTTCTTTGGACAGCTTCTGCGCAAGTGTAGACAGAGCTGTTACCACGCCACACACAGCAGGTCCGGCAATGCCCGCAGCGCCCGCCAATGAATGTCTGACACACTCGGCACCTTAGTCATAGAGCGCGTGGGAAAACTGCAAGTGCAAGCCCCAAAACACATTGAGACCTCATACGACATGCACAGGCGACACACGCTACACCTTCTACAAAAGTGTCGTTGCATCCCTAAAGTCACGTTTCCGAGCCCAACTAAATTCCAGTCGACTCCTGCCTTTCAATCCAACAGTGCTCCCGGGGAATACAACACCTTGAGCTATAAACCTGTGCAGCGAAGTTCCTCAAGTCAGCAACTGCAAGGGATAGGTCTACGTAAAGTTGGCAACATCTTGCTTCAGCCCGCGACCCCAGCACAACCCAAAGCGCTAGCACGATGCGCAAACTGGAGGTAGCGGAGCCTGAGCACTTGTCAACAGCTGCACACGGTTGCGAGCCCAATCCTGTGAGATTTGGGCCACCATTCCAGCTTCTCCGGCGCAGAATCACCCAAGGAAGACAGGAGCTCTTCAAAGGAGGTGTTCAGCCGCTTTGCCTGCTCAACAGGGAAAGATTCTAGCAGCCAGGGAGTCAACTTGAATGCAGACCGGCACCTCTTTCTCGCTCATGACTCGCAGCTCCGCATCCAGAACTGCAGCCAGGAGCGCTGCTCTTTGTCGAGGAACCTTGACTTCTGAGATGCGATTCCAGATGCACCTGAGTCACCAGTACTTGCTGAGACCCTTGCATCCCAAAGCCCACCAGCCACCTTCCGCACCTGGCAGACTCCACAGCTACCAGGCGGCTACCATAGTACGAGCTTGCTCAAACTGTCCATGCCGCCCCATGTGCATCTCCAAAAGCAGGCATGGAACAAAACAAATCATCCTCAAGAGGTGCACCTGGTGGCAGTCTTTACGAAATTCAGTGTCGCCACCACGGGCCTAGGGACCGGTGGAAACCACCAACGACAAGGCAGCACAAAGCTTCCGTCTCATGAGTCATGGCTCAGGCGGCGTCCATGGCCAGGGCCAACGAAGCAGCAACAAGCGGTGCTGGACTTTCATCAGGCCTCCAGCTGCTAACAGTCAGGCAAGGCCCAAGTTTGGTTCAAGGCTTCCAGCTTACAGGTTGATGGCTTCAGCTTTGGACTTTGTTGGCATTTGTTGGCTTTAAAAGACTAGACACGTATCAGACTCTGAACTGGCCACCGCACAAATTCGACGCCTGGGTAACGTAGCAAGGATTGGGAAACTGCACTCGATTTGGATGGCCATATAACGTTTAGCTGGCTCCAGTGGTTTCTGCTTCTCTTCCTGCGCGCAGCATCACTAGATGTTCCGTGGACGATTCAGCCAACTGGAGACAAAAGGGTGTGGACATCACTTCTTTGCGCCCCTTTCCTTCGCGCGCCTGCTCCTTCCCTAGCGCAATGCCTAAGCGTCAACCCAAGCTTGATCCTGACCAGTGAGATGCACATGACATGTCCTGCTCCAGATGAAGCAAAGCACCATAGAGCACACGGAAAAAAAATGGGTGGCCAACCCTAGAGCTCTGACAAGCTCCTCCGTGAATGCCTGGACTGCTTGAAGGTATGCATGCTACAGCAGAGGCTGGGACTTACAGCACATCTACGGCGAAGCGTTCAATTCTTACGCTGGGGGCTGCACGGCTCCAGCGAGCAGCAAGCAGGCCTTGCAACATCTAATCTGTGGATAGGCCCTCTTGGTACACATCGAACGCTTGCTGGCTTTCTGGTCTGAAGTGTCTTCTTTTTGCACATGGAGACGGAGCAGGTATTGTTGCAGCATCGCCTGCACCATTTGGAGCAACACGATTCTGCGTAATCAATCCAGCCCCAGCCTCAGACCAGCCCTTGCCTTAAGAAGCAGCGGGCGGCACTGAGACTGGGCTAGGGCCATTTTTGATGAACTGTTTTGCAAAATCACGATCCTTAATAATGTCAGCTTCAACTTGCTTCAGCTTTGCCCAGCTGGAGTCACTGAGCACAAGCCCCGGGTGCACCCGATAGCGGCCACCCCCGTAGCAAACTACGGGAACAGAGAAAATCAAGGAGTCTGCGATCGAATAGGCTCCATGGCCAGACCATACACCCATTGAAACAAATTCCCCAGGTTGCGTCCCGAAGTGCAAGTCATGTATGTGATCCACAATAGCCCGGGCAGTGGACATGGCGCTGCTGGCCTTCCTTGCCTTCACAATGGTGGCTCCGCGCTGCTGCATTTCCTTTCGAAAGAGGTCATTCATGTGCTTCCGCTCTTCGGCTGTCGCTAAAGCTTGAGTCGCAGGTTTCCCCTTGATGATAGCATGCTCAATGTCCGGAAACTTGGCATGACATCCCCAAGCTACCACATTCTTGACTTCGTTCACAGGTATACCAAAGTGGTGTGCAATCTGCCCGGTCGCTCGGTTCTGATCCAAGCGCGTCAGGGCAAAGAAATTGGTCTTAGGTAAAGATGGTGCAAAGTGGGCACAGATCCAGGCATTTGTGTGCGCTGGATTACCAACCACCAACACCTTGCAATCATACTTGACATGTCTTTCAAGGGCTCGCCCCATGGTGCGAAAGATCATGACATTCTTCTCCATGATGTCCTCCTTCTTTAGCCCCTCCTGTGTGGGGAAAGCCCCCAAAAGGATGGCATAGTCAGCCCCTTTGAAAGCCAGCGCATCATCGGTGGTGAAGAGAGACTTGTGCAAGAGCGGAAAGTTCCCGTCCTGAAGCTCCATCTCCATACCACGCATACTGTCCATCACCTCCGGCAGGTTCAAGTCTAAGCAGTGTAGGTTCACTCTCTGTGAAGACCCGAAAATGGCACCCGAGGCGATCATAGGCAGAAGGGAGTACCCAATCTGCCCAGCAGCGCCGCAGATTGTTACCGTAATGGGCTCGGTGGACGAGAGGATGCGAGAGCTGCGCACCATGCCGGCCAGGCATGCTGTATCCCGGCTGGCGACCGCACCCATCCTCTGGCTTTGTTTGTATACTTGTCTGGTAACTTGGTGCTGTTGCTTCCAGACGAAGCTCATGCTGACTAGACTGCAACTGTCATGTTCTTATGTGATGGTTGGGCTCATGAGCATTTGCATCCGCATGATAGAGTGAACCCTGCCCTCGCTATACGTACGCTGTAAGGCTAATTTTAGCACCTGCAGTTTGGCTCTTGGAAATAACAGCAGCGCAAACAACAACTTTGCGATGTAGCAACACACACCGCTCTCAGTGGACTGCCCATGGGCTGGTTGAAATTACACAAACAGCTCGGGCGGTCGCTGCATCCTGAGACGTGGCAGCAGAGACGTTCTGCAGCAAGGAAGAGCACGCTGCGGTAGCTTCAGACGCCTGCTTTGATGCATGCAAGGCATTCATGTGTGCAAGGGGGGCCATTGTCTACTAATCTCCACAAACCTCCACCTGTAAATTTGTAGTCTCAATAGGCACCAAAACATGTAAAGCACTGAAAATGCTTCAGCTGCTGCACCTTGAATGCCTGCATGACAGCCTGGAGAATTCTGGAAGTTTGCAGCACCTTTTGCATGTGCCTTAGCCACATTGAGAGCACCGCGGCTGGCCGCAAGACCCAGTCGTAGATGGCCAGGGTGCTCGATAGCCTGGGGAAGGCAGATTTTGCCTTCAAGGCCCGAGCCGGACTTGCAGGATCGTGAACAGTTGCCCGGCAACGTGGACAATATCCACATGATAGCACCAAGGCCAAAGGCAAAAGCAAAGAAGATTGGCCGTAATTCTGCCAGGCCTTCTGGCGAAGCGGCCCCAAATTCCCTACGCATAAATTACTTGATCACTTGAGCATTCGCCGGCCCTGCCACTGGGCCCCTAACTGCTCGGTCCAGCAAAGCTGCGAATGCGGCCTGGCGACTCCGACTCAACATGAGGGGATGCGGCTTTCCGACCCTTGCCCATCCACGATCTTCCCATGGCACCATACTGCACCCAGTCCGAATGCGGCTATTCAATTATTCGTGCCCTAGTCTTTGCAGGGACTCCTCAAAAGAAAACCCCTGCCAGTTGCAACCTTTCACTCCTGGATTTCTCCAGCTTTTCTGGCTACGGTCTCGAACTTTCTTTAAGAAATGGCTTTGCAGCTAGGTATTATTGGAGGATGGCAGCCACTATGAGAGCAGATTGCGGCAGCATTTTCAGCACTTGGATACCTGAATCTGTACCATACCGGCTCCATCAAGTTAAATTAAGTCTCTTGTTCAAGCTTTAATGACAGATCCTGATAATGATTGTCATAATGTAACTGCCATAGCTGCTGTTCACGACGACAAAAACACATACCTTTTCACAGAAAGTAGAACAAAGCCTCTTTGGACACGCATGCGATCCTTGCTGTTAATTTGGTCGGAAGGCGGTATCCGTTTAGGCTGTCTTTAGCAGCTCGGGCCTTCACTGCCACGTCATCCAAACAGGCCGCGGCAGCTGAGAAGATCTGGCCAGAAGTGAAGCTTTCAGATGAGCTTGGGCGTTTTGAAACAGCTTGCGAGAGTCAGACTTGACTCACTGCCGCAAAAGGCGCTGCACCGCCAGAGTCTAATAATGTTCCACTCTGATATTGCCTTCTCCATCTGCAGCCTACGTTGTGCACAGGATGCACAGGAGAGTTCATAAAGAAACCACCCTTAGATTGCTGGTGCCTCCAGATTTTGGAGGGCCACTTGCGCGTCAGAAGCAGCGGCGGGCGCCTTCGCCTCCCAAAGTTATAGACTTGAAAAATCCGTCAGCCATTTCAAAAAGCTATGGCTTCGGCAAGAGTGCGATCGGAAAGGGGACTATGCGAAATCTCTAGCTAAGGAGATGACCAGGGCCAGCAGAGAGGCGAGGAGCTCCTTCCCAGCTCCGTCCGCCTAACATGCTATGAGATAGCAACCATGCTTTCACGCTGAGCCGTGCCGGTCGGTGAGCAGGGATCCTGCCTTCTGGTGCTCCTGCCACAACACCTGCCGCTAAGCAAGCACGTTGGCTTGGCATTACAAAGAGCTGCATTAGAACGATGCAGGCTTCATCAATTCTTGATGCCTATGTTTCGTGGATCACCCGTGGATGTGCAATCTTGCCTACCTGCCAAAAACAATCGGCACCTTGGTAGCTCTTGCGACGACCGCGCCCACGCTGCATTCAGCTATCGCAGGGGTAACATCAGACCTTGTTGGCACAGGTAATCTCAAAGCAGCAAGTCAGCGCATCTAGCAATTGCTGAGTCCACTGCCAGCTTTTGCCTCCGCGGAGCTCCTCAATCAGGCTCAGAAAACAGAATTCATAAGCAGTAACCAGGCGCTGGATGCTCTGGATGCTGACTTATATCAAGTTTGCTGTCCTCTGTCCACCAGACCTCCCAAATGGTTGCGGCTGATTCATCTTCTGCCTGGACCAAAGCAGCCTCCTAACTACTCACCGGCAAAAGCGGGCCGTGAACCTCGTCTGTTGCAGAGCTCGGTTTTTGTCCCTGGCAGGTGCCGGGTCTAGAGATCTGACCTGTTGCTAAGGCTGCCGGCTAAGGCCCTGGCAACACCTGGACGGCACTGGGATGCTGTTTCTCGAAGTGCCCATGCCCATTCCTCGAAAACTCCAGAAAATCTTCTGTTTGCAGACTCTCATCACGACTCTGCTTCTTGAGGCTCCGGCGGTTAATCCCTTGGAATTTGTCCACTTGTCTTGCGCATGGTGCAGCAGTTCCGCACTTGCTGACAGGTAGCTTGCCTCAAAGAGGTGGGGTGACTTACCACCATGACATCGCTCAAACATATTGAAGGCTTGAGTGTTGACATTGGGAAGAAGCACATTTTGCGGAGACGTTGTCAGGCATCAGACTCTGCTTGCGTAGGCACTGACAGCCGACTGAGCCTCCTGCAGTATCCACAGCATTTCCTGCATTGCTGCAGGAACGAAAGTCGGTCATGCATTTGAAGAATCGAATGTTAAATAAACAGCTCAAGTTATGCAGCATCAAAAGCTCGCAACTGTACAGGCGCTCTGCTCCTTCAAGCTTGACAACGCCCTTCCGGAAAAGCAGCTTGGAGGGAGCCCAAACCTGTCCATCAGTTCAGCAAAACTCCGCACATCTAAAGCTTGCAAGATCTTGAAACCAATGAAGCTCTGGGGAGAGTGCATCCTTTGTGCTGGCATCTTCCTCCTTTTCTACCTTTGCCTCCTGTCATACAGCTGGGATGTACACACACGAATCTCTACCTGGGGTCACACAGCAGACAGTCATTACAGCTCTCCTGCTTCAGCCGTGCGGCCGCAAGAAGCTGCCCCGCCTAAAGCACAGATATTTTCGTTTGGACCAGTCACGCCCAAAGTGCGCCGTAAAAAGCCAACAGCTCCTGCTGCACCCAGTGATCAGTTGCACGATGCACAAGCTGTCGAAGCGCTAAAGCCCTGCTCAGCCCCGCACAACCCCTACCTCTAAGCGCAAAAACTCGAGGAGGAGCTTGACCTCTGGGTCGCTGCGAGTCTTGCAACATCTCGAACCATGGTTTTGCAGTTTTGCATGACTCGTCGTCATCTGCCTGAGCATCTCGAAGTAGTCACGGGACGGCTTCAGCATTAGGAAGCTTGAAAGGTCTTTGCGACGCTCTATCGCAAAAAGCATCTTATCGTGTGTTCGCTAGCACTGTGCGTTCTCATGTTTGTTGTGGTCACCTTTGCGTCGCTGTGAGGCTTATGGCCATGGACACCTGAAGTAGAAAGAATCGATTAATGTCATAGCCACCGAGGCAGACTGCTCCCCTAAATCCTGTAGCTTCTACAATCCAGTCTTGTGGACAGACAGCGCCATTTTGGACAAGATATTTTTTGTAGGAGTTATGGAAGACCATCACTTTTTGAAGTCGAAACCGTGCAAGATGTTGACCCAATCCACTGGAGGGCCACACTGATTTGGGTACGCATCGCAGTCCGCGCAGCAGGAGCTTTCGGGCAGCTTCCACGTGTCCTTCCATCACATGTCGGGTCATCTAGGATTCAATCTGAGACAGATGCCGATAGCAATCTTGCAGTTGCTGCTTGTTGGATTAGGCCGGCCTTGCTGGAGTTCTCGATCTGCCGCAAGGAGCCAAAGGTGGATCTCCTTGGGGTGATACCTTAGCAGACAAGAAGACCCTAGAACGGCAAACTGGCTCAACTTGTTGCCCGAATCCGCTGCTGCGCATAAACAAAATCTTCGTGCCGAGTGGTCACTTGACTGCCCGCATCAGCACACGGGTGAGCATGTTTGTGCTGCCTCAGGTCCCATGAGGGCGCATCCAGCGATCCCACGATGCCAACTGTTATGTCACTTAGACTGGCACCACTTCTGAGGCAGAAGTCCACGTGCTGATACCTCGATGTCACTCTATGTACAGTAGTGATAACTTCAAGAGACTCGGGCAGAGGTCCCCGCCACAGTCCCAAGTCTCCCTTGAATCTGTGCCTGCCAGGGTTGAAATACACAATGTATGTGTCCAGGCCAATACCACTTCTTCAGGCGAAGCGGCGATCCCCGATGAAGAATATTGTGTATCCTCCTCAGTCCCGCCTCGGCTTTGCCAGCCCTGAAATCTCATCCGCTCCTGCTCCTGAAAGCTGAGTAGCAGACCACTGAGCTGACAGAACGCTTTCTCCAGCGCATTGCACCGGTCCGCCGGCGCCTTCCATGCAGCCACTGGCAGTCACTGGCAGCCACGGTCAGCTTCCGCTCCAAAAATGCATGAAAACTTGAGCCACCCGCCTCAGAGCTTCCAGAGCAATCTCATACCGCACCTAGTTCGTGAGAGTGCCGCAAAGAAGCCACGATAGTCAGACACACGCAGAGTGCACAGCACACCAACCTATCAGACCCCGAGCTTTGCAGTTTTCACTTTTCTCCGACTCCACGCGATTTAGACCGGAGGCGGCTTGTTCTGGAAGCACGTGAGACCATTGAGGGGCAGAGTACCTTTTTGAAGATAGTTCTTAATGTGAACTCGGCACTCAGCTATCGCCTCCCTATTGTAGTCCGTTGCATGAGTCGGGAACGTATGCCCGATGCCTTGCCAAGTGATGAGCGAGCCATCCGGAAACGCGCTCTTCATGTTCTGGGCCCAGCTGTAGCTAGTGGCTGGATCAAACAAATTTCCCACGACCAAGGGATACACGATAGAACTACCCATGGGTGCATTTGGGGTCGCCTTTACAGGCCAGAGGAAGTAGCCTACCATGTCGCCCACGACTGCAGCCAGGCCAGCATCGCCTTTGTCAGCTGCAGCTTTCCACTGGCGCATGAGGTCAGGGACATCAAAATAGCCTGCTTGATCCACGCCCCAAATTGCACACTGCTCCATGTAAGGCTCACCGAAGGAGGGGCCTGGAGCCTCTTCTTCCTCGCCGGTCTGCCCTGGTCCGACACAAATGTCATAGTTGTACCATGTGCTGACACCCTTCACGAAACAAAAGCCGTCCAAGATGTAGGCCACAGTCGACCTGATAGTGTCAGGAGGGCTTCTTGAAGGAGACAGCTTTGCAAGCGTATCTAATGCTGTATGAAATAGGCGGCCGGAGCTTGACAAGGATTCCGTCTGGATGTATGCCATCAGCATGCCAACTGTCAAAGTGAACTCTTTTCCTGACTTTGTAGGAGCCGTCAAGTTGCCCAACCGAACGGCTGACAGGATCTGGTCGTACTCGTTCTCAGGGCTCTGCAGCGGACACTCTGCCCCGGCTTGTTTACCTTAGCAAAACTGGCAAGCACTGGTCCCAAGCAGGTCCCAAGCAAGTCCCAAGTTGCAATACACTGAAAGACTTTCTAATGTTCGCTTTGAAGCATGTGTTCAGAAGGAATGCAATGAACTTATCGTTTGCCAGTGCATCTCCGACGGCCTGCCCAGTCTTTCGAGGTGAGGGATCCATGTTGCCGTCTAAGACCACGCGACCTGTGAACTCACTGTAAACAGAAGCGTAGACGCCTGCCACGTAGGTCCCGTAGCTGTAGCCATAGAAGCTCATCTTCTGCGCGCCAATTGCTTTGCGAAACCGATCGATGTCGTAGGAAAGAAACTGGGACCCCACATACTCCAAGAAGTTGTATGACTTGTTGTTGGCTCCCACCAGCTGGAACTTTGGGGAGGCTGCACACCTAGCGCCCCAGGCATCTCTTTTCCGGAAAAGGTGTTCAACCTGCGTCTCATTCTGCGGGTCGATGTCCGCCCATATCTCAGGTCATCTCACAAGTGCTCTCATCTCTCGTTTACGCTAGCAAGCTGTTCGCTACATCAATCCTTCTGCACGCACATACTACTGAGGCATACTCCTGGCCCAATCCCGGCCTCACCAATCTGCGGCGTTCCGTCTAGAAGAGCACAGGGGCAGTCTGTGAAGTCACTGATCTGGCAACCTGCTCAGATTGGGCTGCAATGGCTATTGGAATGAGGTTGGAGAACAGATTTCTTGAGTCAGGGTTTGGGTTGATGCCTCAACTTCAATCATTTATCAAATCTGGACAGTTGACAAATAAAAAAACTCAGTTCAAGAGGTCAGTCAAGACTAGAACTAAAGCTTCACACGCGCCTGAGGGAGGACAATGCGAGGGGAGGTGGGAGTTCTTGCAGTTCAACGCCGGGTCGGCGGCCGGTCCGATGCCACGTTGGGAGATGGACCAGACATTGTATCCCTCAAGGTGGGATCCCCAAGCCTCGACAGTCGAAAAGCCAGGCAAGCTGGTGAAACCCGTAAAAATCCCTGCCTAACAGTCAACTGCAAAATTGACCCAGGCACATAATTGACACAGGTGCTGCTGGAGCCGGGGCCTCCACAGTGAAGAAGCAGAGCCCCCAAAGGCGCAGGCTGTTGCTTGTCAAAAAACATGGCAACCTCCAGATCCAGCTTGGGGCTCTTTTCGTCCGCAGGATCCAGGAAGACGCTAAGGGTGCCTGATACAAGGCTGCCAGCGGAAGGAGGCTGGTCCCACCGCAGAACAGCCGGATCGGGATTCATGGGGGAGCGCTGGCGATCCTTTCGCTCAGCGACATGCTGCAACATCTGTAACGTGCACGCCTCGTGTCCACACTCATCGTCCAGAACCGACGGCGAATTCCCAGCGGTAGCCTGCAACCACAAAAGAATGGTGACCCACATTCCGGTGGGTCGCCCAACCATGGCAAAAGGAGAGGGACTCAGCTACGGCGTTTAACTACTAACTACTGCACTCCTCGCAAACCTGCTAAGGCAGCCGGCAAGTATTCGAAGGCACAAATTGATGGACAGGGCCATGTCACCATGTCTGGCATGACAGTTCAGATCTGAGTTCGCGCATGGCATGACAGCATGATCAGAGTAGCTTTGCACCACGCAAACAAGGAACCACATGGTACTCATATGCAGTAACCATGGGTCGACACGACTCACACATACATTGCAGAGCATTGTGTTAGGTATGGTGTTAGGTATCCGAATGACATCTCCATGCCGAGAAGTTGGCATAGTTCAAGTAGTCCTCGCAATGCAGTAACAGGCAACCAGGTCTGACATTCCAACAAGAGCCACACAACTGACAAATCACGCAACAGACCGGAGTCCTGTGGCTTGCCTGGATTTCTCCTGAGGCAAAGATTGTGCAGCTTCGCAGGCTGGACCGCACGTGCAAGCCAGTCCGCTGGCCCTGTGACAGTGGTCGACTTACTTACACCCGAGCTTCTGGAGGGCATACTCGAACTCGCGACGTCTTCGCACGATGTGCCTGCGAGCTGTCTGAGTGGGGTTGAAACAGCAGTTCACCACCAGTTCGTCACGTGCCACTGCCTCAGCTCATCCTCAGAAAAGATTTGTCGCCGCCGCAGGTCGTCCAGCTCCGGGACCATCTCCTCGCGGAATAACTAGCAAGACATCAAGCAACGCTCACATATGGCACATGCCTTTGAGCTTCCGAGATTGTCTTCTGGTGTAAGTGCATGATGTCTGTCCTGGAGCGCCTGCTCCACATAGTCTGCCATGGCTGCAAATGGCTGAGATGGCTTCTAGCCCACGAAAAGGAAGGGCATGGAATCTCTGGTTAAAAGCAGCTCCACTTGACTGATACCAGGACCATATCACTGAAAAGAACTGTCGGACAGAAGTGTGTTTTCGAGCTGAGAAGACTTGTCCAGAGTGCACACGATTTACACTCGAGTGCTGTTGGAACCTGCTTAAAGATGAAGCTGCGCAGTCTGCTATTCACACAACTCTGCAAACTCTAGTGCTGAAGTCAACTGACACAAGAGTGTGGTAGCTGCGGGCTTGCGGCCCGTGCTGGGAGCTGTGTGAAGCTTCGGTGGTCCTTCGTCTCGAGCTCTGGCTTTGGTTCCTCGTCCTGGTCGAGTGCTTCTTGGATTCTTAGATGGTTTAGAAACATGAAAGCTCAGCAAGCTGGGTCCTTGCGGGACTTGGGACTCGCACTGGCAGCTTCTTGTGCAGCCTTCTTCGCTTTCCTTGCTGCCTGCGAACACCATTTGAGCTGCAGAGATAGAGTACACTTATTCAGGAAGTCGCCGGTTGCTCTGGGCAAAGGAGTTCTGGAAACTAGCTTGCACAAAGAGAATCCGTCATCAGAGGCTTCCAGAACTTGCCAGGTAGCTGCACGTAACATTTTGCGCTCCCAAGCCTACAGAACAGCACAGATCCAAATCCTGAAATTCTTCTCGCTCTAGCGGACCTTTTCCTCAGCTTTGCGCTTTGCCTCGGCTTCTGCCGCTGCCTTGCGCCGGGCCTCAGCCTCTGCGGCCTTGCGCTTGGCACGCTCCTCCTGGGCGCGAAACGAAAAAGCTGCCGGACTACCAAGGGTCCCGCAAAGTTGCGAGAGATGCTTGACGATGCGGTGATTTCTTCGGATGGCTTTTGCAGTAAATGCATATCAGCGTCTTATTCTGTAAGGATGGTGCACCTTGAAGGCACATGACACTTGCGCCTGTCCATACCAAGACTGTTGTGATTAAGGGGACTGGCGCCCAGAGGTGGCCCCGCTACGCAAAGCGAAACTTGGGCCAACAGTTGTCGATTATTGCCAAGTTAGGCGGCCGCGTCATAAAGAAATGGGCAAACGAAAAAAGAAAGAACGCTGGAGATGCATCGCACAAAATTGAAGCTGTAATAGATGATAGCTGATGATGCTGGCTCCTATGGACAGCATCATCAGCATCATTGGCGGTCCGTTTTTCCATTTTGGGCCCCCTTTGCAACCCTGGACAGTCTTTGAATGTGCGCTCGCCTCAGCTCGGGCCAGTTTTAAAAAGCGTGCTCATGATACTTTTTTGGAGGGTCGTGGAAAAGCCCAAAATCCTTCGGACATCGCTCTGTAGCTTGCGGGAAGGCGTAGCTTGCGGGAAGCCTCCGGAACGCATGTGAATCTGAGACTGGTTTTGGAGGGGGTGTTGGAGGGTCCCTTGGAGAAGTGGAGATCCGATGATGCTGGGCGAGCGTTCGCCCTTCGGTCGGGCCCTGCGGGCGGAGTTCGTGCCTCGTGCTCCTCTAGGTGGGGCCACTGCCCCTGACCCCCGCCTGGCCAGCACCATCGGACTCTCAGACCCACTCCAAAACGAAGCTTCCCCCACGCTAGGCTGTTGTCAGTTTTTAAACTAGCCCCAACGGCCTTCTTGGGAGGAGGCCAAATATGGAGAAATGGAATTCCAATGATGCTGATGATGCTGACCAATGGGGCCAGCATCGTCAGCCTTGGAGGTCGCTTCTCCTTTTCCAGGCGTCCAGGCTGTCCGCACGTGCTTGGCCAGGCATGATGAGGTTTATGAGGTTGCATGCTGGAGCCACAGAGGCTACCATGCTTCTTTGCGAGTTCTATGATGGGTTTACATGGGCGTTGATCTAAATTCCTTCGTGCCGAAATGACCCGCTTCGCGCAAAAAAATACGGTCGCGAACCTATCGCCGAGCACGTCTCTGATGGTTAGCTCCTTCAGCAGACCCGAAACTCTACATTTAGAATGGGAAAGCCGCTGACTTCGCAAAACCCTGCCCAGCATACTTGAGCCCACAGCATCCGCCTGCCCTAAAGCCTCAAGCCCAAAATCTTTGAGCATAGACCTGTACATGCCCAGGGTTAGGCTGGTAAGGCTACCCAGGTCTGATTTTGGGCTCACTGTCCTAACAATAGTGCGCACATGTCTACTGTGAGCTCTTGCCCACGGATTGTAACCTCTACTTACGCGGCACTGACACATAACTTTCGCGAAACTTTCGCGCAAAATTGGCAGTCCAGATTGTGTTGATGGGTTCCTGGGCTTGCGACGGTTTTAGGTAGGTCTCATGCGTTTTTTTATGGCTTATGGAGTTTCAGGGATGTTTCTCAGGTCTAGCGCGCGTACTTGTTTCATCATGATTCCAAGATGGTTTTGCGGGTTCTTCATGCCTGCACGCGGGCTGTTTTTGTAGCGGTGCCGATGAAGTTGTCTCCTGGAGGGCGGCTTTTGTGCGGCTGAAGGCTTGTTTATGGCCCAAAATAAGTGCGAGTGACCAAAACTGAAGGTCAGCAGCAAAAGGTTTTGAAGCTCCTCAGCACCACTCAAAAAACCATCATGGGCACGGGTTCCAGCCCCAAGGCCCGCCTTGGGCCTGGGCTAAGAAAAGTTTGAGCTCCAGGAAGGGCCAAGGGGCACAACATGTCTCAGAGCCAATGCCCAAAGGCCTGGTGTCCATGCCTTGCCAAAGCACTCAAAATCTGCATAAACCGTCATAAACTGAGGAACCTTGTCAAGAGTTTTCACACCACCATGGAAGAGTGATTTAAACCCGTCATGAACTGTGGCAGCAGGGGGAAGCCTCCAGAACACGTCCGAACTTGATCTTGGTTTTGGAGTAGTGGGGTCCAGGAAGGCTTTTTGGAAGAGGTCCAATGATGCTGGGCAGGGGCGTCGGCGGCAGTGGCGCCACCCTGGATCGAGCTAGAGCTCTAGACACGGGCTCTGCCCTGGACTCTGGACAGCGGCAGCAGGGCCGGATTTCAGACCCGCGCCCGCCTTCAGAGCCGACAACAGGAGACGCGATAGCAGGAGTAACAGGGGCGGTAAGAAACCAGACAAGGTACGCCATTCGTAGAAGTACTCGAAGCAATGGTAGTGGTGAACGACAGTATTATAAAAGGGCCCGGAGCTCCCATGATGCTGATGCTGATGATGCTGCCGCCCTTGACCCAGCGTCATTGGGAGCTATTTCTCCATTTCCCTGGTGCACTTGAAATTCCGTACTTCTCGGATGAAGACAATCGCCATTGCAAAACATTACTGAGGCGTGACATTGTTCCTCTTGCAATCTCTCGTGGGTCCTGCTCCTTTTTCAGACTGCTGAGCAGGCTGACGGGGAACTTCCAGCGTCCTGCTCCTCAGGTGGCAGCTAGATTGACGTGAAAGCCACGCGACCCCGATGCAGCGTATCAAAGCACGGTCTCTAAACTCTGGCCACAAGGAGTGGGATTTTCTCAGCCCTGCACCGAACAGATCGATGTAGTGCGCACCCGTGGCAATGCCGCGGACGAGCCCACCTTCCTGCTGGCTTGCTCCGGGCATGTCAGGATACAAAGCACCAGCAAGGCCAGAAGAGCTATGATCGGCTGTTATAGATCATCTCCCATGCAGCCCACAGTTGCCTCCCAGCAAGCCGAGGCACAGTTGTGAGCAACAGATTGGGTCAAAGGTCAAGGCACGGCGGGACTATGCCTGCGACATGCCCACAATTTCTGCTCAACATTCCTGATCCCATGCACGTTACAACCTTTCACGGCATGTGAAGCCATTCAATGCGGGATTGCTGCAGTGCAGAAATTCAAAAACTCAACGTGCTGAAGATGATGAGAAGAATCGCCCTCAGCTGTCCTCACTCAGGGTGCTGCAGGGCTCCTTGGCAATCATGTCGACATCAAAACACAACTTTGGTATGGAATGGCCGACAACAGCCTGCAGCCATGGGTCAGTTTTGATGCTTGCGAAGGGGTCAAGCTTGGTCCTGGCTGCCAAGGCCATTGCAAGATGCTCTGCAACTTTGATGAAGGATGGACTTTGCGCTTGGAGGACGTGGGCTCTTGCTGGGAAGCTCTTTGAACAGAAGTCCGGACAGTTGCTGCTATGCAGTTGGTGAAGTGCGACAACATTAATGACATTAGATGCTCATTGAATAGTGGCAACCTAACCTTTTGCTCATGGTCCTGGCAGTCTTGGGTCGCTGTGGTGATGACGCCTCGCCAGCCTCGCCCTCCTGGCCTTCTTCTTTGGGGTCCTCGAAGGAAATGAGGACCTGGCAGAGGACGTCATACAAAGGACAACTCTGATGAGCTAGGCGCTGACGCCAGTCCACCACATAGTCAAGGCAGCTAAAGGCTTGAAATGTAGGACAGAACTCATGAAGCCCAAGCGCAAAGTATATCAGACGAGGCACCCGGTTGTCCTTCGCCATGACCAGTTGGAAGCCTTCGCCAGTGATCCTTGGCGCACTGCGTCTCGGTTCCCTTTCGATCCTCTTTCCAACAGGGGTGAGATCAAGCCTTGGCATATCTTGGCATCTTGGACTCTGGTTGCCGGGGTCCCTGCATCTGCACAGTGAGGTGCAGGTCCTTTGCACGTTTGAGACCGGCGGAGGGAGCACGAACATTTCCCAAACAAATGAGCGTTCAACGAGGAAGGACGCTTTTGATAGGGCCATGATAGGGGCTTGTACATGGTCCGGTGCGCCTGACTTTGATCGTCGCTGCACTGCAGCCTACCGGTTTGCACTTCGCGTTTGTTACCCTGTCTAGACCCACCTTACTTCGCAGCTAGGCTTTGCAAGAAATTCCATGCGCTTCCATGCCTAAGATGCATGCCAAGGAGATACGAGCACGAAACTTCTTGCACTCCGTGCGAACCAGGCGGCGTCAGAAAAGCGAGGATTCATCCTTGGACGAGACGCATACCAATAACAACTCGGGCTCCGACTTTAGGCAAAATTTCAGATCTCAGGGCCCTGCATTAAAAACA